GTTGGTTTCTCTGTCGGTAAGCCGACATACCGATGAACCGAAATAGGTTATCGATTTATAGGTGCATCGGTTTGTTTATGTCCTGCGGCTGTAATCTACGTGTCTATCTATGTATGTGTGCATATATAGAGTCACTATACATATTTCGATAGATGGACACACATATACATCTATATATATATATAGAGAGAGAGAGAGAGAGCCCTGTGTATCACGAATCACTACGACTGGGCAGCCATTAGCCACGGGGTGGTGGACAAAATCAGCATACACACGCTTCGGGAGGCGCAGAGACATACTGGTGCGATGTGTTCTCCTTGGAGGCGCGCGCGCCCCTGGAGGAGCGCCAGAAAGGTAGCCACGGAGTTGACCTCGGGAACGCCAAACCCCCCTCCGAACCCAGACGGCCCCTTGCGGCAGCGTCTTGGTGGCCTCCCCGGCCCCCTTTGCCGTCGCTCGGACGTCCATCTCCCGTGCATGTTTGCGGTGTCGTGCGTGTTTGTTTTGCTCGATGGTCCAGGATGGTCCTCGATGGTTCTCGCCGAGAAAAAACGCACACGTCCGAGCGATGCCAAGCCCCAGCTAGGAGCTCCGCGGCGCTCTCGGCCGCCCGTGCCGCCGAGCCCCGGGCCGCCGAGATCGTGCTGATGCGGCCCCCCTCGCCGCCCTCGCCGCCGTCGTCCCGCCGCTGCCGCGGCGAGACCTCTCGCCGCGGGCGCCGCGGGCGAGCCACCACCGGCTGAGCGAGGGCGAGGGCGTGGCACCCCGATGCTGCAGGCTGCCGCGCGCGGAGGCCCGTGCCCGGGTATGCTGCGATGCAGTGCGGCCAGCACGCGGAACGAGGACGGACGATAAGGCGAAAGAGGAGCACATACACACACACACGATCACACACACACACACACCCATGTCAGCAGGGGGTCGGGGGGAGGAGGGCTGGCTATAGGTATGGCTGTGGGTTGTCGGACCACGTGGGAGGCTCCCGTTCGAGCGGGGAGCCCCCGTCCGACAACATGCGCGCACAGAGCCATTTCTGTCCTCCCCTTGGGTATGGGTGCGTGTTGAAATCGTTCGCCACGGTGAGGACGCAAAGACCCTGGAAGGCCGTGCCGACGCTCTGCGAGCGGGGCACGGCCCGCCGCGAGAACGACCAGGGATGGGCCGAGAGGGGACGATGCGAGGGGAGTCTTCAGGAAGTCGCTCATCCGTACTATGCGGGTGGACTGTAACAGCCTGCGTGAGCTCTGGAGGAGGATGGACGCGGAGTCCCTGTCGGAGCCCTCATAGAGGAGAGGTCCTTGTGGGCGTCGATGTACACTTGCGTGCGTGATCGTTCTTGGATGTGTTTTGCTTCAGCTCCTAGCGGGCTCCTCCCACTGCCCCCCCACTCGCGCTCTTTTCCTTCTCGCCCGCGTGCCTCAATTCGCTTCCGGCACGCTCCACGGCCTGCCGACCAGCACCTGACTGTCTCGGACCACTTGACGCCCGCGGACTGAAAACCTCAGCTTGCCGTCGCTTGGACGTCCATTCCCCGTGCGTTTTTCGTTCTCGTGTGTGCTTGTTTGGGGGTCCTGACGATCCAGGATGCTCCTCCATGATCCTCGCCGAGAAAAATATGAAAACGTCCGAACGAGGGGGCGGGCCTTCTCGGTCGGGAACGTACTGACCTGGGTCAATGCAAACTTGGCTCAGGTCAGGCCTTGCAGGATCGTGCAGGATCCTGCAAGATCCTGCGCCCAAACGCTGGTCACTGCACCCCTGGCCCTGCAAGAACCTTCAAGATCCGGCGCTCTGACTGACCCGACACCCGTTTGCACTGACCCCCGTCTGTCAAGCCCCGACTCGGAAGGCTTGGAAGTCGCCTGGCCTTCTCAGGAATTGTCTGAGCCTTCCCCGAGGGCACAGCAGACTTCTCAGAAGGCCAGAGGGCCCCCGAGACGTCCCGAAGCCTTCTGAGAAGGCCTTCTCCTTCTCACTTACGGCAAGTTCGTGTCGTGCCGACCCCAGCGTTGGTTTTTGACACCGCAGGGATCGTTCAACCTTGAACGATCGGCCATTTCCGCAACGTCCGATCGTTCAACATCGATCGATTCTGGGTCGCCAGCGGCGTTCAACCTTGAACGCCCGCGCTGGGGTCGCCGCTGGTCGACACGACGCAAACCTACCGTACCCCCTCGCTCGCCGCCAGACGGAACAAAAAGCCTCGCGACGCTCAGGGCGCAACACCCGGGAGGTCCTCGTGCGCGGCACCCCGCGACGGCGGATTCACAAGGAGCGGGCGGGCGCGGAGGTCGTGGAGATGGGTCGCGGGGTGGGTCGCGGGGTGGGTCGCGGAGTGGGTCGCGGATTGGGGCGCGGAATGGGTCGCGGGTGCGTCGTGGGGTAGACTCGGGTCGGGCGAAAGGGGGGGATAGCAAAGGGGGGGTTTGAGAATCAGCTCACGTAGCTGACTTTCCCGGCGCCTCCCGGCGCCAGGATGCGCCCATGTATCGAGGAATGGGCCCCTCGGTGAGGCCGAAACCAGCTGCATGCAGCAAATTTCGTATCCCCCCCTTTCCCAATCCCCCCCTTTCGCCTGGCCCGATAGACGACTACAACAAAGTCACGACTAGGATCTGGTCTTTGTAAGGTCGACTGCTCCTGCTTTCTTGCATGCTGCTTAGTTCGCTGTGCAAGGCAGCTGTTTACGACGCCGCCGCCAAATGAAGCAATGCGAGTGGTATTAGGTCGGGCATGCCCCCCTACAGGCAGATGTTGGACGACATGTCAAAAAGATCCCAAACATACTCCCAAATAGTTAACGCTACCAAAGAAAAGCCCAATCAAACTCATGTTAGGGCTATAGGGCTATGGAGCTATTGGGCTATAGGGCGGTGGGTGGGGCTATGGGGCTATAGGGATGTATGGCTATTGGACTATTGCGCTATAGGCTATTGGGCCATAGGGCTCGTGGGCTATAGGGCTATCAGACTCTTGGGCTATAGGGCTATATGGCTATAGAGCTAGAGGGCTGTAGGGCTCGGCTTTAGGGCTATAGGGCTATGAGGCTATAGGGCCGTAGCGCTACAGGGCTATTGGGCTATCGGGCTATGGGGCTACAGGGCAATAAGGCTATATGGCTCCAGGGCTATAAGGCGTTAGGGCTATAAAACATCAAAGCAACCGGGCACACAAGCGCCCAAGCGGGCCGCAGAAATCGGTGGCAAACCTCACCTAACCATACGGCTCCGCTGGGGCCCCTACAGAGGCAAGTTCTGATCGGGGAATATGGAGGGCGTGTGGTTTCCAAAATGTGGCTCTCGCCTTAGCGCCGCGCACATTCGTTCCAAATAAAGCTATGGGGCCACAGAGCCATAGAACCGTTGGGCTATATGGCTATAGGGATATAGGGCTATGGGGTTATAGGGCTATAGGAGTACAGGCATATAGAACCATAGGGCGATAGGGCTATAGGACTAGAAGGCTATAAGGCTGTAGGGCTATAAGGATAGGATACAGGGCCTTCGGGCTATAGAGCTATAGGGCTAAAGAGCTATAAGGCTCTAAGGCTCTAGGGCTGTAGGGCTATAGGGTTATAGGGCTATTCAGCTATAGGGCTAAAGGGCTATTGGGCAATGGGGCTACAGGGATATTGGGCTATAGGGCTAGAGGGCTCTATGGCGATAGGGCTGCAGGGCTATAAGGCTATGAGGTTATAGGGCTATAGGGCTTTTGGGCTATGGGACTACAGGGCTATAAAGCTAAGAACTATATGGCTATAGGTCTAAAAGGCTATGAGGCACCCGGGCACCCCGGCACCCGGGCGGGCCGCGGAGATCGGTGGCAAAGCTCACCTAACCATAGAAATCCGCTCGGACCCCTACAGACACAAGCTCTGACTGGGGAATAAAAATCGAAAAATCGTCCCCTGACTATTTTCTGACTATTTTTCAAAATTCCTCCTGTAGAGGGACAGGCACGACTTAAGAGTAGTAGGCACTCGCTGGCGAGCGGATATTATGCCAGCACCATGCCGAATCTCGACAACGCGCCGAGGGCATGTTTAGTGGTTCACAACGGGCGCCGTCGAAAAAAAAAAGATCACCAACTTCAATATTTCGCATCCTGGGGATTTCAAGGCGGAACCGTCGCCAATGTTGTAGCACCCCGCAGATGCGGACAAGAGCGAGGGGGGGGCCGCGGGGTGGGTTGCGGGTGGGTCGCGGGGTGGGTTGCGGGTGGGTCGCGGGCGTGTCGCGGGTGGGTCGCGAAACGCCGAGCATAGCAACAACAATCCGCACAGCGGAACCCCGCTTCAACCACGCACCCAGGGACAGTAAATCATGACCGTTCGCCCCCTCACTCGGATTAACCTGCGGCAGCAAAGAACATGACAATACTCCGCATAGACCAATAAATACTCACTCACCCAAGCACCTCAGCCCGACAGCCAAACCCGGCCCCCCCACGCGCATGGAACTCGGCCCCTGAATGCGTTCCAACCCCACACGCCCCCCGAAGCAAAGCCCATTCTTAATCCAGACGCGATTCCCCCCCACGCTTACTGAGCAACTCAGAAGAAGCGGCATAACCCCATTAACGCGCCGGATAAAGCGGAACTACAAGGGACTACGTCGGATTGGGCCTGTTTTCGACAGCGGGAATACATACCCGCGCCGACGCTGAACAAAACCTCTCAAGAACCGCATCCGAACATTTTCGCATCGTTGAAAAATAACAACGGGTAGTTGCCACTCAAACTTCGGCCTCTGGTGGGGCCCTTGCCGGGCCCTGGGGGCCGTTTGAAGACCGACTCGAAATGCTGACCGCGTCCCAGGGAAGGGGTCCAGATTTTTTGGGGCGACGTTATGAACAAAACGTGGGGTTGGATTTTTGGGATCGGGCCCCCATCGCTCACAGCCGGCCCGTATCATAAAGATGCGCGATAAGGACGCAAGAGCCTTAGAAGGTCACTTCGAAGCTCTTCGAACGGGGCGCGGTCAACGAAAGTGACCAAGGATGGGCCGAGGAGGCAAGGATGCAAGGTTACCATTGGGAAAGTTGCTCATCCTTACCATGCGGGTCGACTGTGGGCTCTGGGGCACCCAGGAGGAACCTGGATGGCTCCACGGGGGTCCTCCGAGAAACCCGACGGAACCGGGATGGCCGCGCGTCTTGAGCGCGCCCTCGAGCCTCGCGCGAGGCAGCCGAGAGCCTTCCCAATTGCAGGGGCCCTGGACAACCCAATGCCTCTGCAGGAAACTTTTCAAGCTCTAGCTGAGCAGATCGGAAAGCAAGCAAACGGTGAGCACGCAACCGCTCGCCCGCCTCGAAGGAAAATAATCATGCTTTGCCCCTTCTCGCTCATTCGTTTGTCTGCGAGCCGAAGCAGGTGCAGCCCCTGGTCGGGCCAAGGGCGGGGCACGCCGGGAGCGAACTGGGGCGCGGCGAATCGCGACCTGGGACTGAAGCCTCGGCGCATGGAGGCCACCGAGAAGGCCTTCTCCTGCTCACTTCCCCCCTTGCTCGCCGCCGAGAAACAGCGCAATTCAAACCGTGGGACAGGCGCTGTGGCACGCACGTCCTCGCCCACCTCCTTCGCCACCTCCCCCCATCTCCCCCAGAGGCCCGCCCGGTACCCGTGTGGGTGCCCCGCTGGATGCTTGCCTATTCACTCCATCCGGTCTGATCTGGTGTCTGGGCCGTTCGCTGCTGACGATAATGACGACAACATGATGAGGGTGGAGATAATGATACTGATGATGCTGATGATGGTATTGAAGATGATGATGATGATGATGATGATGATGATGCTGATTATGATGATGATGCGGAGGAGGACAATGATCAAAATGACGATGACGGCGATGATGGTGGTGATAATGATGATGCTGCTGGTGATGATGATGATCCTGCTCTCCCGAGAGGGGGCAGCCGCCGATGAGGATGAGGATGATGAGGGTGATGATGATGCTGCTGATGATGATGATCGAATGCTCTACTGCACGAGGGCACCTCCGCATGAGCCCGAAAATGCACTGATCGGTAATACAGTTGAGCAAGACGAAGCAAAGACAAATGACTATGATAATGAGGAGGAGGGGGAGGAGGAGGAGGAGGAGGAGGACGAGGAGGAGGATTGAGAGGGGCGGACATCACGATCGTTACCATCGCCAGCATCATGATTCGCATCAGCATCGTCGTCATCATCATCTTCATCATCATCATCGTCATCATCATGATGATCATCATCGTCATCAGCATCACCTTCACCATCATCAACAGATCTGTGGTCGCCAACTTCTTTTCGGGTGTAGCCTGAATTGTTTCTCGCGAGGTAAATTGAACTGCGTGGAACTGAGAAGACTGGTCGCACCCGTAACGCGACGGTTTGCTTCTCGGACGCCAAAGGCGCAACCTATGGCGCAACCGATAGGAGACGGTTGTATTCTCGGCCAGCGAGGGCGCAACCAGTGGCGCAACCGATCGGAGATGGCTTTACCTACGCAGGACGAAAGACTTTCCTCCTAAGTCGAAGAGGACCACCCCGTCCCCCGTCGAATCTTAACACGGGGGGAGCCTGCGGTCGACGGATCCCATTCTTGTCGGTTCCTGGAACGAATTAAATACTTCAAATTCAAAACGGGGTAGGAATGGGATACGCCGTAAAAAAACGGGGTCCGACGCGGATCCCGAAAATCAGAAATGTGATCCGCGCGCACGGAAATGGGATCCGCCGCGATTTCACAATTACAGTAAAATTGGAAATCTGTTCCGTGCGACCCTCATTGGGTTCGCCGCGATGATTTCCCAGAGGGCCCGTGCACCGCGTGGGACCGTGAGGTTCAGCGCCCAAAGGAAGAAACTGTCGGCCTGGGGATGGGCGTTTTTGATTTCACGATTACGATAAGATTGGAAATCGGTTCCATGCGACCCTCATTGGGTTCGCCGTATTGATTTCCCCAGAGGGCCCCTGCACCGCGCGGGGTCGTGAGGTTCAGCGCCAACACGAACAAACTTTCGACCAGGGGATGGGCGTTTTTGGCATCCGACCTGTCCTTTGCCGCATGCGGCGCATCTCTGTTCTGCGGCTTCCGATCGAGACTTCCCTACATGCTCTTGAGGACTGCCGTTCTAGATTTTCTCGCATGCGTTCGGCGCTTCCGACGTTGCATCAGCCTTGGGCCACGGAGCATCCAGGCGGCGAGGATACACGCGTCGCCGTCGCACGTTTCTTTTCGGGGTTCTCACCGTTGGGTCGGGAGACGCACGGCGCCGGCGCACTGGCGTTTTTGGCGTCCGACCTGTCCTTTGCCGCATGCGGCGCATTTCTTTTCTGCGGCTTCCGCTCGAGACCTCCTCGCATGCTCTTGAGGACTGCCCTTCAAGATTTTCTCGCATTCGCTCGGCGCTTCCGCCGTTGCATCAGCCTTGGGCCACGCAGCATCCAGGCGGCGAGGATACACGCGTCCTCGTCGCACGTTTCTTTTCGGGGTTTTCACCGTTGGGTCGGGAGACGCAAGGCGCCGGCGCACTGGGCGTTTTTTGGCATCCGACCTGTCCTTTGCCGCATGCGGCACATCTCTTTTCTGCGGCTTCCGATCGAGACTTCCCCGCATGCCTTTGAGGGCTACCGTTCGAGATTTCCTCGCATGCGCTCGGCGCTTCCGACGTTGCATCAGCCTTGGGCCACGCAACATCCAGGCGGCGAGGATACACACGTCCGCGTCGCACGTTTCTTTTCGGGGTTCTCACCATTGGGTCGGGAGACGCAAGGCGCTGGTGCACTGGGCGCTTTTGATTTCACGATTCCGCTAATTTTGGAAATCGTTTCCGTGCGACCATCATTGGGTTCGCCGCTATGATTTCCCAGAGGGCCCGTGCACCGCGTGGGACCGTGAGGTTCAGCGCCGAGAGGAAAAAACTTTCGGCCTGGGGATGTATTCTCGGCCGCCGAGGGCGCAACCTACGGCGCAACCTGTAGGAGACGGTCCTACTCTCGGCCGTGAGGGCGCAACCTGTGGCACAACCGATAGGAGACGGTTACGTTCTCGGCCGGCGAGGGCACGACCCATGGCGACACCAATCAGAGACGGCTTTGTTCTCAGACGCCTGAGGGCGCAATCTGCGGCGCAACCGAGGAGGAGGAGGAGGTGGAGGAGGAGGTGGAGGGCGAGGGGGAGGAGGAGATGGAGGAGGAGGAGGAGGAGGAGGAGGAGGGCGGAAGGGGGAGGGGGAGGGGGAGGAGGAGGAGGAGGAGGAGGCGGAGGAGGAGGAGAAGGAGGAGGAGGAGGAGGAGGAACAGGAGGGGAAGGAAAAGGAGGAGGAGGATGGGGGGAGGAGGAGTAGGTGGAGGAGGAGGAGGACGTGTCGCCTAAGCCCTTCGGAACAACCCTCCAAAAGGAGGATCGGGCTGGAATCGGCGACGCATCGCCGATTGATCGGCGATGGGCCCTCGATGGCGCAGCCGTGCGCTCCTGGGCGAGGTGGGCAGTTGGGCCTTTGTCGGCGTTGAATGACCGGTTGCGGGTCGACGCGCCCCTCCCCCGTGAGCCTCTCTCCCCCTGACGTTGCCCCGTGGCTGAGGGATCAAAACGAAGGGGCCTTGGGACACACAAATACATACACACAAATAACCGGATTCCCGTATATTTTCCCATATTTTCTGGGTTTTGTCTCCCCCCCCATTTCCAATACTTCCCCATGTGTTCCTGGGAAACGACGATTAGTTGCGTTTGTGTGTTTTCCCTCCTGGCAAACTTCGGCTCTTCTGCGGTCGTGCGGGAATACCTGGGCACTCCCGGAACGCCCTCGGCAAGGTGCAGCCGCTGGAACGCCTCCTGAGACTGGCAAGCCGCCCAAAACCAAGGAAAACGCGTGAAAACCTCGGGCCTCGAGACCGACACCTCTCCCCCTGAGCCCACCCCTCCCTGACGTTGTCCAGGATCTCTCCGCGGGCCCTCGCCGCCGCTGCCTCCCCACCCTCGCTGGGGCGACCTGGCAGGCTGCACCCTCCTCCAGCACGGGCTCTCCTGACGGCGGGGCCGGCCGCCGTGGTGCCAGTGAGACGTCGTCGGCGGGGGGGGGGGGCCCACATGATTCGCTGCGCTCACACCAACCGCCCGTCCGCCTGCTGATGGCGTCTGCACCAGCAATCCCGCATGCGCTCGCCCCACAATGTATAGCCTGAGTAGCGGGCCGACCGCCCGCTGTGACACTGCATTTACTTCACATAATCGCTGAAACACCAGAGGAACGGTGAAGGTGAGATCCGACCGGCGGGGCTGCTGAGGACGGGCCTTGAGGGAGAGAGAGAGGAGGCGAGGGAGCTTCTCCTCTGAATTAACGCCCGTTTTGCAAGGGGCAACGCTATGGGAGGTTGATCGTGAAGTTCAAGATCATGAAGCACTCGCCCCCGAATCGCCGAGGACTTTGTGGGTCCACCACTAAGCGACACGACGTCGCCGGGAGACAGGGAAGGGTTGGAGAAGGATAGAAGGGGGTCGAAAAAGTAGAGGTGGAGAGATCGGTAGATGAGTTCGGGGAAAAAACGGGGAAGTCTCGGAGAAACGACGGGGGGGGAAGAGCAGGACGTGAAGTTGCGCATGGGGACCGGGAAATCCACTTCCGGCAAACGGTTGAAGGATCGCAGGGCTGACCTTAAAAAGTGCGATTCTGGAAGGAATGCAACTCTTCCTCCTCCCACCAATCGCAAGTCGGCCGGTCTGGTTGCACCCCGATAGTTGGACGCTCACAGTGGGCACGGACAACATGGGCACGAGGCCCAACATTCAATGTTGTCCGAAGCCGACAGCGGCCGCTGTTGGGCAAGCGGCCTTCTGTCTGAAACGGACAACGTCCTTTGCGACACCGACAGCGAGTCCTGTTGTCGGTCCGTGTGCCCATTCTTTCCGTATCCCTGTCGATCGTCCCGAGGATGGGGGGATGGGGGCGAAATTGGAGGGGGCCGAAAGGTCCGAACTGGTCGGGGCCCAAGACGGCCAGCCAAGAGACGGGATGAAACCCAAACTGGTCAACATCGTTCCCGAAATCCTTCCCAGGATCCATTTCGTGCAGTTGTTCACCTTGGATCCGTCTCTGACGACCCCTGGGCCCGAAAGCTGCCCGTGGAAACCGAAAATTAAGGTACCGAAAACTTTCCCGAATCCAAAACCTCGAACCTGTCCGCCCTTCCTGCTGGCCGCAACCAGTGCTGGGCCACCTGGGACCTCCAGCCAGTTTTGTGGATGCCACGACAGCGAACGCCATTACAAACTGTATAATGTGTTTACAATGTAAGAACGATTGTCTGAACATGGTTCACATTTTCCTACTGTTAAAAAATTTAACACATTTTTAAACGCATGGAACTTTTTCGGCGACATGCTTCCTCTCCGTTGGTCGCCCTCCACAATGTTGGCCGCGGCCCGCACTGGGCCACCAGAGACCTCCAGCCGGTTCCAGGGGCGAGTCGCCCCATGGGCCGCGCAGGGCGAACGAACGCAGCCATCTGCGATTTGCGAGCACCTTTCGGTCGCGGCCTGGCCGATCCACTCGGGGTCGACTATCGCTGTGGGTGGCACGACAATGGACACCCTAACAGTCCGCTCATTGAGTTTTAATGTGTCTAAAATGTAGAATTCATGTTCTAAACATGTTTTAAATGCGCTTCTTACACCGTAGGGGGTCGAGAAGGGGATCGACTACACTATCGACGGACCCCCAAAATTAGTCCGTTCGCCGGATATACGAAGTAAGCTCCGTTGATCCATGGAGCAAGGCGCACGTGGTTCACAGCTTCGCCTGTAAATTGATTTGCGGGGTTCGCCAGTTCTGTAGTCGATCCCCGATTCGAGGTTGGGCCGCCCCCGAACGTCGGGGACAGCCTCGCCGCGTCGCGCGTCCGCCCGCCACCGCAGAAGACGCCGGTGCCCCCTGCAGCGCGGCTTGGACACGCTCGGCCGACGCCGAGCGCGTCCTGCCCCGCGCCTCCCAGCCCCAGCGATGTTCTATGCAAAATCTTCAGAGGCCGACTAGATGGGGCCCGCGTAGACGGGGCCGGAGGATCGCGCTGCGTCGCCGACGCATCGGCGACGCGTCGGCGACGCGTCGGCGACGCGTCGGCGACGCGCCGGCGATGCGTCGTCGACTCTGGCGATGCGTCGGCGACGTCGCCGCGAAGCGGCCCAGGCCCCGCGCCGAGCCGCGTCGGCGACGCGTCGGCGACGCGGCTCAGACACCTGCACGCCTGGAGAGAATGTCAGATTACAGCAGTTCGCGCGCGTAGCTCCATGAACTGGTTTCGGAATCTGGCCCCGGCCAAACTGGCCCACCACATTTTCTGCGGGCGCCGGACTCCGCGGTCAGTTCCGCGCGCGCTCGCGCGCCAGCTGCTGCGTTTCAAGACTCTGGCCTTCACCGCCCTTCCCTGCCGCGAACGCCCTGTCTTAGCGCGCCTTCGCGCCCGAGTTCTCGACCAGCGCGGGGCGGCGACGCCGCGGGTGTGTCCTCGCGCAGCTGCTGGGCGCGGCCGCAGAAGATCTCCCCTACTTCGCCCCCGTTGCCGATCGCCGTGTCCCGGCCCCACTTCGTCTTGTTCGACTGGGAGGGGGCCGGTGCCGAGGGGCGCCCGTTAGGTTCCTCCGAAAGCATCCCCGAACCCACGAACCATTCTGCCTTTCGCACGCCTGCGCCGATCATTAGTTCTCCGTGGGTTCGTGGACTCGGACTCCATTACCTGAGGTTCCCCTTGCCCAGTCCGCGCAGGAGCCGATGTCCCAGTTGACCACCAGCCTGCGCAGGTCGGAGGTCCTTTTCGGCGGTCCACGGCAGCAAGTAGCCTGCTAGAAGCTGCTGTTTCGAAAGGGCCAGAGCGAGCTTGGCCTTGTTCTTCTTGCTCTGGTCCTGCTCTGGCTCCTCTCGCCCCCAACGGGATGCAGCATTCACCCCGGGGTGCGCTCGTGAGCCTGCACGTTGGCCTCGTGCACGCTCACGCTGCCCATCATGGTGTCGAACGCGGCCTCGGGCTTGCGCACCCAGTGGCCTCCGTCTGGGCGGTCGTCGTCGGGCACGAGGATGTCGCCCGTGCTTCGGAACAACGACCTGCTGGGAGTCGGCCCCCGCTTGCAAAGAATATCACTTTCACCCGCTCTGTTTCGGAAAAGCAAGCAAACCCATGGAACAAACTGCTGGAGGATTGAACCGGCGGGACAGACCCGTGGACCCTTATCCATGAACTTACCCCACCAATCAGCAGAGTAGAGCTGAGATTTCATTTCCTGGCGCGCCTTGGTCCTCGCAGCTCCCAGGCGCCGCATGTACACTGAGAGTTCGTCATGTCGGCGATGGATCAGCGACGTCGGCGATGCATCGGCGATGTCGGCGTGGAGAAACACGGGCTCCACATCGAACCGCATCGGCGCTCGGCGATGCATCGGCGATGCGGCGCGATCCTCCGACCCCGGCAACTGCGTCCCCATCTATGAAGCCTGGAATTACCGCTACCGCTACCGTTGTTCCCCGGGCCTCTCCCGGGGTGCGATTTGACCAGGAGGTCGAGGGCGAATCCAGCGGCGGCGGCGGCGAGGGCCTCCCGGGAGGCCCAAGAAGGGGAAAACGAGGGACAGGTTGTGGTATCGGCGCTCTTTCCTAGGTCGGGTCTGTCCTCCTACAGGCGGATCTTGGACGAAAAATTAAAAATAGTCAAAACGATTCCAACATTGACATGAATATTTGAAACATCGTCCCGAGAGTACTGTTTCACTAATTTTGCATAATCCTCCCATAGAACAGCCAGACTTAAACCGCTTCCTCCCTTCGACCCCCCCCCAAGGCGGCCTCTCCTCCTGGGATCTGCACCAAGGCTTGCTGCGTGCACGGAGGCGGCATGGGCGCGTGGTTCCTGCGGCGCCCAGGGCAGAAGCCGACCCCTCCCGCTCCCAGTTGGTGTGCCGCGGGCAGGCGGCGGCACCGCGTACAGGCCAGCAGCACATTGGGGAGAAGAGGAACGAGGATGCAACGCAGCTGCTGAGGGGCCCAAGGGCACACAAATAAAGAAACACAACTCCTGGGCATCCAAATACCTCCCAGATGTTCTTGATGTTCGTCCTCGCCTCCGCCACGCCCTGGGGACTCGACGGTCAGTTGTTTCTGCGTGTTTTCCCCCGATGAGCTGCGCAGTGGCAACCTGTCGGATCAGGGCACCAAGAGTGACAGAAATGTCTACATGACCAGGTCAGCGCGACAATATACCAGCCCACTGACGCGACGAAACACATGTCCCCAGCGCGGCAATGAACGATTCCGCGAATTGCCAAAACACAGCCGCTCCAGGGGCCCAGAGCCTGGTGGTCGTCGGCGCGCGGAGGCACATCTGGCGGGAGGGTGAGAAGACCGAGATGTGCTGCATACTTAGATGTATACACGCTTCAGCAACATGTGCGGTCGGACGTCGTTGGACAGGACACGCGAGAGAACACAATACCCTTCCGAGGGCCACATCGCCACAGAGATGCAGGAGACACGGGTCGCAAGACACAAAACACGAGGGTACCCTTGATCTGGCAGGGTCGACCTACTAATCCGGGCCGCCTGTATGCATGCGTGTTTGTGTGTGTGTGTGTGCTCGTTCGCACTTTAAGCTCACGAGCCAAGGTGCGCAACTGCAACTGCCACAGAGCTCTGCCCCTGGGCGCTCCATCGAGACACTGAGGGCCGATGCCACTGACAGGCGCACTGGGGCCGCTGTTGCAGTGGACCCCGACAGAACGCGACACCATCGAGCAACCCGGGCCGACTCCAGTGCGGGCGCTCGGCTCGCTAGAGCTCCCAGGCTCCCAGGCACTCGGCTCACTGGATACTCGTCCAAGGGCTAGGCCGAAGCCCTGTATCAGCACGGCCTACCCAATAAACAACATCGGTCCGTCCGACCAAGCCACCTCGGAATGCACACGCCACCCGGAACAAATGTTCAATAACCCTATGCCCCAGATAACCACATCCGGTGGATAGTACGTTCATCGCCTGGGCAATTCGTATGTACGATGGGATGTCCGTATGGTATAATGACACCTTGGTCGCCCTGGCGGGGCCTCCTTGGAGGGGGTCTTATGCGTAGAACGAGTACGAGAAGCATCACAACTAGTAGTCACCGTCATCGTCGTAGTCAGCGTAGTAGTAGTAGTCGTCGTCGTCGTCGTCGTCCTGGCCGTCGTAATAGTAATAATAGTAGTAGTAGTAATAGTAGTAGTAGTAGTAGTAGTAGTAGTAGTAGTAGAAGTAGTAGTAGTAGTAGTAGTAGTAGCAGTAGCAGTAGTAGTAGTAGTAGTAGTAGTAGTAGTAGTAGTAGTAGTAGTAGTAGTAGTAGCGTTAGTAATAATAGTCGTAGTGGTAGTAGTAGTCGTAGTAGTCGTAGTAGTAGTCGTAGCAGTAGTAGTAGTAGTAGTAGTAGTAGTAGTAGTAGTAGAAGTAGTAGTAGTAGTAGTAGTAGTAGTAGTAGTAGTAGTAGTAGTAGTATTCGTAGTAGTAGTAGAAGAAGTAGTAGTAGTAGTAGTAGTAGTAGTAGTAGTAGTCGTAGTAGTAGTAGTAGTGGTAGTAGTAATAATAGTGGTAGTAGTAATAATGATAGTCGTAGCCGTAGTAGTGGTATTAAGATCCGTGGTAATCGTAATAAAGGATGGTCTCGTATAGTACAATACAATGCAGTAGCGTATATACACAACTGCACAGTCGTAGCTAAAATAGTAGTGAAAATAGAAGAAGTAAAAATAATAATAGTCGTTTTAGTGAGATTCGTGCAGATAAAAATAAGGTTGCTAATCATAAGAGTAGTCGTAGCCGTAGTGCACGTAATCAGATAGTCGTAGTCGTAGTAATAGTAGTAGGCGTAGCAACGTAGTAGTAGTAGTAGTAGTAGTAGTAGTAGTAGTAGTAGTAGTAATAGTAATAGTAATAGTAGTAGTAAAACTGAAAATAATAGCAGTCGTAAGAATAGTCGTGGAAATCGTAATGGTGGTCGTGCTCGTCGTAATATTAGTAGCCGTCGTCGCCACAATACTCGTCGTCGCAGCAGTAGTCGTAGTATTAGTTGTACGAGTAGTACTAATAATAAAAAGAATCGCGTTGGCCGTAGCATTAAAAGTAATACCATATTTGGTAAGAGTCGTCGAAATAGTAGCAGTAGTAGCCGTAGTAGTAGTAGTAGTAGTAGTAGTAGTAGTAGTAATAGTAATAGTAGTAGTAGTAGTAGTAGTAGTAGCAGTAGTAGTAGTAGCAGCAGTAGTAGTAGTAGTAGTAGTAGTAGTAGTAGTAGTCGTAGTGGTAGTAATAGTCGCCGTAGTAGTAGTAGTAGTAGTAGCAACAGTCGTAAGATTAGTGATAGCAGTAGTAGTGATAGTAAGAATAAAAATAGTCGTCGTAGTGGCAATAGGAGTAGACGTAATATGTTTTGCAATAATCAGAACCGTAGTGATCGTAATGATAATAATAATAATCGTAGTAGTCGTAGAAGCCGTAGTAGTAAATCGTAGAAGTCGTGGCAGTAGTAGTAGTAGTAGTAGTAGTAGCAGTAGCAGTAGTAGGCGTTCTCGTAGTAGTAGTAATAGTAGTAGCCGTAGTAGTAGTAGTAGTAGTAGTAGTAGTAGTAGTAGTAGTAGTAGTAGTAGTAGTAGCCGTAGTACTAGCAGTCGTACTCGTAGTAGTAGTAGTAGTAGAAGTAGTAGTAGTAGTAGTAGTAGTCGTACTAGTAGTAGTAGTAGTAGTAGTAGTAGTAGTAGTAGTCGTAGTAGTAGTAGTAGTAGTAGTAGTAGTAGTAGTAGTAGTAGTAGTAGTAGTAGTAGTGGTAGTAGTAGTAGTAGTCGTCGTAGTCGTAGTAGTCGTCGTAGTCGTAGTAGCCGTAGTAGTAGTAATAGTCGCAGTAGTAGTGATAAGATTAGTAGTGGAAGTCGTAGTAGCAGCAGTAGAAATAGTATAGTAATACATGGCACACCGCAGATGCGGATAAGAGTGAGGGGGCGGTGGGGACGTCGGCAGCCTGCGAGACTCTGGAGAAGCCCGCCGCAGGCGTCGAGGTTTCACACATGATACAAAGAGCCCGCCGCAGGCGCCGAATTCTTCCGGTAAACCAATGTAGGTAGGTCGCGAGTGGGTCGCAAATGGGTCGCGGGTGGGTTGTTGGTGGGTCGCGGGTGGGTCGCGGGGTGGGTCGCGGGTGGGTCGCAAGTGGATCGCAGGTGGGTCGCGGATTGGTCGCGGATGGGTCGATGATGGGTCGTGGCTGGGTCGCGGCTAGGTCGTTGTTGGGTCGCGGGTGGGTTGCGGGTGGGTCGCGGGTGGGTCGCGGGGTGGGTCGCGGGTGGGTCGCAAGTGGGTCGCGGGGTGGGTCGCGGGGGGGGGTCGCGTGTGGATCGCGGGTGGGACGACGACAAGAAACAACGACAACAACAACAACAACAACAACAACAACAACAACAACGCAACGAGCACAATCCTCACCACAGATCCCCACTTCAGCCACGCACCCAAGGACAATGAATGCCCATTCGCTCCCCTCAATCTCAGAAAAAAAAAAAAACACAAACTAGTAACGCTGGTGCTTAGTGTGGAGAGAAGGGAGCGGAGGGCAGGGGAGGGAGGGTGAGAGAGGAGGGAGGGGAAGAAAGGTGGGAAGGGAGGGGAGGGGAGGGATGCGCCAGATCCGGTTTTCAGATAAATATCAAATTGGGGACCCCATATTCTCTTCTTGTAGAGCCTTTTTTGTTGAGTGCCAATGTGTAGGAGATCATGGTGGGCGGCTTCCGTTGAGAATAGTCCCCCGGGGTGCACAAGTTTTTTGTCCTGGGATGAGAGAAGCCTGCCACCGTGAACGTCGCCGCGGTCGTGTCCTGAGGTCCGCCGTCGCGAGGAACGTGCGGCACCAAAGACAATCGCGGCGGGCGCCCTGCAGACCGCACCGTTTCGGCGGCACTCCTCGTGCCAGGTCGATCCTCGCAGGCCCAGGGGCCGAGGGGCGACGACAGGGGGGGGATAGGTGCAAGGGGGACTGCATCGACCTCGGATGGCCTACCGTGGGGGCTCGACCACAGGAGGCCTTCCACAGGAGCCGCAGCCCTGACACGCCAGGACGTCCGTTGCTATTCGGCGTGGGAGCGTCACGCTTTTCAAGAAACCCAAGGCACCCTGGAGGCAAGCAGGGTGTTTCTTGGCATGCGTCGTCACTGTTTAAATCGCCCATATATCGTCGATACGTGGTCGAATCAGACCGCCCCATGTGCTGTCTTTACGTCGCCGATACATCGCCCTGGCATACACACACATATATATATATATACATACATACATACATACGTACATACATACATACATACATACATGCATACCCCGATCTAGGTATGTGTGTATCAAAACTGTCTACATACATATATATAGAGAGAGAGAGAAAGAGAAAGAGAGAAGGAGAGAAAGAGCGGGAAACAATGTATCAACCGTTCCAGGTCGACGCATCCCCCCCTATGCCTAATCCCCCCCCCCCCCGACGTTGCCCCCGAGGGGCCCGAATTAATTAGGGCCCGGGCGAGACCGACCCCGCCAGGTGCGAACACGCTGCGACGCCAAGCTCGCGGGGTGCCCTGCCAGCTGCCGGCTCTGATCCGTGGCCCAAAAAGGGCCTGGCCCGAACCCTTCCCCTGGAGGTTGGGGCTATCTTGAGGTCGGGCATGTCCTCCTGCGGATTCTGGAAGAAAAACGAATGAATCAAACAAGCATACGCAAATACATCCCAAAGGGCACGAGAAATCGAGTCCTCCTCCTCCTCCTCCTCCTCGTCCTGTTTGCTACTATTCTGGAATACTCCTCCTGCAGAAGGGCCTGCCGGACTCAAGGCTATCGGGCCCCTGTCGGCGAGGAGCGAGCGCTCGGGGCCCACGCGTCCCCCCTCCGGCGGGTCCCTCCCCCACTGGCTATCGCTCGGACGTCCATTCCCTGTGTTTTGTTTTCGGTTTCGTGCGCGGCTTTTTCGCAGGATGATCCAGGATGCTCCGTAATAATCCCCGCCGAGAAAAGGTGCACACGTCCGAGCGATACCAAGCCCACCGACGCTGACCCGGAGGCGTTATTCGCCCAGGAGCTCCCGCTGAGGACGGCCCCGGGGCCCAAGCACATGGCCTCCCGAGGCCGGGGAAGCGTCGTGGACGGCCAAGGAAAACGGACCCTCGGAGATCTCGGGGCGGCCGTCGCCGTCGCACGGGGACGTCCAACAGGGGGCCTCCGCAGATTATAAGAGGAAGAATTTCAAACCGTATAAACGCGCGGATTTCTTGGACTTGCGCTGGTCCCCCCTCCTTGGCGTGCGGAAAGCGCCAGGGGCGGCGCCGGAGGCGCTGCCGGGGGGCCCGGCGCGGATCCAAGAAATCCGCGCGGAGCGCCAACAGTTCGTGCCTGTGGTTGTGGATGCCATGACAATGGACACTCTAGCAATCCGATCATGCGTTTTAAATGTGTAAAACATGTTATATACATGTTTCAAGCATGTTTTTACATATCTAAAGCATATGTGAAACATGTTTGGAAATTATTTGGCAGCATGCTTCCTCTCCATTAATCGACCTCCACACCCCTATGGCGCTTCTTCTTCTTCTTCTGCTTCTTCTTCTTCTTCCAGACCATGCCCTGGGGCATGCGCGCGGCCCAGGCGGCGGTCGGAGGACACACCGCAGGAAAAAAGTTGGGGAGGCGACGGGGGCCGGCAGACGCGAGCGGGGACGGGCGGCTCCAGAAGCTGCGAGAGTAGGCGAGCTCCCTCCCAGAGCCTGTCACCGCACTCCGGGGAGGCCTCCTGGCATCTGTCAGCCAAGATCCGGCGGTGGCCAGACCTCCCTTTGGTAAACCTCCCCTGAGTGAAAACGGCCTTGGACCGAAACCGACGGACCTGGACCCGCAAAATGACGGCCGCGACGCCCTCTCGCGAACAAAAAACGGCCAATTCCTTAATCAACGTGTCAGGGTAGGAGGTCTATCAACCTCCGAATGATACCCGTCCACCCACCCCCTGGTCAGCACACCCCGCTTGGCCGCCGCCGTCGCCGGCGCGGCCCCTCGGATTCCTCAACTCGTTGGAGATCCGACGATGCGAGAGACACAATCGTGAATCTTTCAGGACGGGGTCCCGGGGCCCCATCTTTCTGCGCCGCCTGACGAGTCGGATGCATCCGACTCGACAAGTGGCACGGAGAAAGATGGGGTCCAGGGCCCCCGTCGTGAAATGCTGCCGACGTTTTTTCTCGCAACGTCGGATCTCCAGCGTGGGTCGCGGGCTGGTTGTCGGGCCCTGGGACCATCACAGATTCATGGATCTGTGATGGTCCTGGGGTCCGAAACCCGGCGAAAATGAAGGGGCCCTGAGACACACAAATAAATACACACAAATAAAACGATTCCCCATATTTTTTAATTTTTTCTGGGTTTCTGTCTTCCCCCTACTTCCCATATTTTCCCATATTTTCCTGGGGATCGACGATTAATTGTGTCTGTGTGTTTCTTTCCCTCCTGAGAAAACGCCGGGCCAAAAACAGCATGGATGTCCGCCAGGATCTCATGGGGCCGCCCCCGCCGCCTTCCACCTCTCGGGCACCCCACGGGCGGGGATTCGGCCCGGGACCCACGATGCCGAAGAGGACCGGCGAGGGCTCCACAAATGGTACAGGCGGGTTATTGCGCACAGGACGCGCGACAGGACACAAGACTCTTCCGACGGCAACATGGCCTCCAAAACCACAGGAAGCAAGGGTAGCCTGCGCTTCGGCCGCAAAGGACACGACGCGCGATGCACAGGACACAAGAGCACCCTTGATTTCGCAGGGCCGACCTACTAATGGAACCCGATTGTACGGACACATATGGGTACAATGCCCAACAACACATGTTGTCCCAAACCATCCGCGGCCGCCGTTGGGCAGGCGGCCTTCTGTCTCAGATGGACACAGACCGCGGCGGCGCGGACAGCGAGTCCCGTCCAACATCACCAAGGACTGCTGCTGGGCATTGCGCCCACCCTTCCGGACAGTCGGACTTGATTGGACAGGGCACGCGAGAGGACACAAGACTCTTCCGAGGGCCGCATTGCCATAGGAGTGTAGGAGGCATTGGTCGCGAGGCACATGGCACGAAGGTGCCCTTGATTTGGCAGGGTCGACCTCTTTATATGAACGGGCGAAGAACGGTATAAAATTAACTTTTTCGCCGTCGGGGACACCTGCCCCAGCGCGGCTGGAAAGTTTATACCCTTACGGTGGCACCATAGGGGTATAAACTTTCCAGCCGCCCAGGGGCAGGTGTCCCCGACGGCGGATAAGTTTATTTTATACCGTTCTTCGCTCGCTGATTATGTCAGGGCCGACTGTGCCCATGTCGTTCGTGCCGAGACGTGGCGAAGCACCTCCGCCTCGGCCTCCTCTGTGCCTTGGAGATCTCCGCCCTGCCCGGCCCTCGCCCTGCGCTCGGCCAGGAGGGGGAGGGCGCTCGGCCAGGAGGGGGAGGGCCCGCGCGAGACGGTCAAGCCCTCCCCCCCCGTCTCCCATGTGCGGGCAGTACTTATATCCATATCCAGAGCGTCGTGGACTTTGTGGGAAGAGGTGCCGCAACGCCGAGGCGCACTGGATAATTATGGGTAAGATCAAACCTCTTGGGACCAGATTTTTATCCATATCCAGTGCGTCTACGGTCTCTGAGGAAGAGAAGCCCAAGAATCCAAGACGCACTGGATGTGGACATAACTATTGCCCGCACCATGCCTTCCGACCTCCGCGGGGGGTGCGGCGGAGTGGATCGACATGCATGGAGGACTCCACGTGGACCACTATCGAAAAAGGGCCGGAAGGTTGGGGCGGAACGCCTGGAAGGATGCGAGGCAGGGAGAATATCAATGAGGGGTGGGAGGCGAGCGCAGCGGCTGAAGCGAGGGTAGCTCCTGCACCGACTGGGGCTCGCGCCCCCCGCGCCCTGCGAGCCCAGACCCCCGACGTCGTGATATGTTCATAACGTCGACCCTGGAGTTCTCGACCTATTCCCCCTGGACCGTTTTTTCATCCTGAGTCCTTTTTTGGCGGTCCCGAGGCTCGGTAAGGGCCCCCAGAGGCCGAAACTAAAATCGGACTTCATTGGACAGGACTCGCGAGAGGACAAAAGACCCTTCCGGGGGCCGCATTGCCAGGAATGCAGGAGGCACGGGTCGCGAGGCACAGGACACAGAGGTGCCCTGGATCTGGCAGGGCCGACCTACTCATCCGGGCCGACGGTATGGGAGAACCTCCCGTCACGATTTTTTCACTACCCGAGGGGGTCTGGGCCCCGCGCCCCGCGAGGGTGGCCGCTGCGCCGCCGAGGGACCCCCCCGCCCCTCCGGGACGGCGCCGCCGCCTGGGCGCCCGCGGGCGGGGCCAGCGGCGTCCCGTGCCCCTTGGGTGCGTCGGCTGCTCCCGCCGGGAGGCCGGCGCGAAGGGCGTCGAGCTGCTGGATGAGGCCGCTGATCTCGGGGCAGCGGCGGCGGAGGAGGAGGAGGAGGCGCAAGAGGAGGAGGAGGAGGAGGAGGAGGCGGAGGAGGAGGAGGCGGAGGAGGAGGAAGAGGCGCAAGAGTCCTCCTAGGTGGGGTCCGTGCAGATGGGGTCGGAGCATCGCCGCATCACCGCTACACCGCGGCGACGGCGACGCATCGGCGACGTCGTCGCGGAAAAAATCGGGCTCCGCTTCGACCCGTCTACTCGGACCCCATCCGGGAAGCCTGGAGCGGCGGCCACGGCGGCGGCCACGGCGGCGACGCTGGCAACGATAGGGCGACGAGATCCGTATCAGAACGAGGGGCCAGAATGGTCATTGACCTTGGGTGCGTGAATGGGGTTCCGCGATGCGGATTGTTGTCGCGTTGTTGCCGTCGTCTCGCTCGCAACGCGGCCCGCGACTCACCTCGCGACCCGCCCGCGACGCACCCGCAACCCACCCCGCGCACGACCCCTCACTCTTAACCGCAACTGCGGGGTGCTACATACACATATCCGCCACCGTGCCCCCTGGCACGTTGAGGCGTGGTGAAATGCCGAGAGCTGTCTGGCAAGGCTTCTTTCATCTTCTAAGGGACCCCCCCCTGGGCCGCACCTCGCTGCGCGCACGGGCTATAGTCCGGGGGGGGTCCCTACGTGGCTATGGCGCATCCCTTGAGCTCTCCAAGGCTTCCATGACGGCCCAGGAGGCCTCCAAGACGGTATATGAGGGCCCCGAGGCTCCGAGCGATCGCTCGAAGACGCCCAAAATGGCCTCAAGATGGCGCCAAAGGCTTCCAAGGCACCCGGAGAAGCCTCCAGGAGGCTACCAAGAGGGCCCCCAGATACAAAAATCTCTGATGTTCCTGAAGTTGTTGAAGGACTTGAGCGGTCTTGCCTTTTGGGCTTTCCGACGCTTTAGGACGGCCCAAGAGGCCACCAAAACCATTTCAAAACGGCCCAAGAGGCCTCCAAGAGAGCCCCAAGGCTGCCGAAATGCGCCCCAAGACAGCCTAAGAGGCGCCCAAGACGGCGCCCCAACAGGGCTCCAAAACGGCCCCAAAAGGAGCCCCCAGGGAGCCCCCAGGGAGCCCCGAAGGGGCCACCAAGAGGCCCCCCAAAAGGCCCCCAGATGCCCCAGGGCCCCCAAGAGGCCCCCAAACGGCCCCCAAGAGGCATCAAAGCTGCCGCCAAAAAACTCCCGAAAGGCCTCCAACGAGATCCCAACGAACATCCACTAGGCTTGCCGGAAGTAGCTGGATACCTGGTTACACACGTTCCGAAAACAGGGTTGCACTTGGGGGTTCTGCTTCTCCTCTAACGAACTGGGCCGGTTGGTTGGTAGCTATGTTCCCGCCGTCGCCGCCCCGTCGCCACCCAGTCGCCGCCTCGTCGCCGCTGGTCGTTTGGGGCGGTTGGTCGATCTGGCGGTTATGTTCCTGCCGTCGCCGCTCCGTCGCAGCGTCGTTGCTGCCCGTCGTATGGGCCGTGTGGTCGGTCTGGCGGCTATGTTCCCGCCGTCGCCGCCCCGTCGCCGCCTCGTCGACGCCCGTCGTCTGGGCCGTGAGGTCGGTCTGGCGGCTATGTCCCGTCGTCGCCGCCCCGTCGCCACGTCGTCACCGCCCGTCGCCTGGGCCATGTTGCACATTGGAACCCAATCGGTTGCAATACAACCTCTTGCAACGCGATCGATTGCAATCCTATCGAATGCACTCTGCTGCAATGCGTTGGTGCACCACATAGATTGCACCATATAGCTTACACGACAGCAATCCAATCGGTAGCAATCCAATCGATTGCAGCTCGATCGGTTTCAATCGACTGCGTCGCATAGCTTCAACACATGGCGTACACCATATCTGATTACGGTGTCTCCTACCACATCGATTTGCCCACATAGCTTACACCACGCAGCTCGCGTCACATGCGTCAGAACATTAATTTTTACCACACCCATGCATCATGTAGTTCGAACCGGATGGCTCACACCATAACAGTTGCACCACTGACAATGCATCACTGCGGCAGCTCAGAGACCTCCAGGGCCCAGGAAGTCGAAGGCTTCCCATCAACGCTCAGAAACCCATCGCCGAAAATGTTCAGATGCTTTTGGTCCGCTGAACCGCCGCCCTCGTCCGTGGCCGCTTTGGCCTGGCCTGGTTTGGTTCGAGGCGCGCACATGCAAAAGCGGATGCGTTGTTTTGTTCGCTTGTCCTCGCCCGATGCCACCCTGGAGCGCGACGCGCGATACCGCGGCTGCCTCAGAGGAGGGCGCACAGCCGAGCACGCCCGTGCACGTCGCATTCGCCAACATCGACTGGAAGAACAACTGGCACGGCTCGGAAATCCGAATTTGCCTTAGTTCTCGACGCAGAACTGATGCATCCGTCGCGAGCGCGTTGGCGCCAGCAACCTGTGCTTCTGCGAATTGGGCGTGATCAGTGAGCAAAGGAGAGGACAAAGGGTTTGTGCCCCCCGGAGGCCGCCGCAAATGGCACGCAGCAGGCGGAACAAACCATGTAGGCAGATGGGGCAGCGGCGCCGCCTTGAGCGAAAAATACCAGCGAACGAACAACGCCTTACACACATGCCCTCTTCGGAACACTCCCTCAAAGCGGCTGGGTGCCCACGGGGACTCCACTGACTTACAATTTGGCCAGCAATCCTGGAAAACGTTTCTTTATCTTCGGCGATGACGGGCGTCATGGGGGGGGGGGGGAGGGCGGGCGGGGGTATGACGTGACGCCCCCCCCTCCCCGCCGTGTGGCTTCGGCACCACAGCCGCGCCCGCGCGCACGACGCGACGAGCGACGAGCGACGAGCGACGACGACGACGCGAGCAGCATGTAAGTGGCGATCTGCCCATTGCGCCTGTGTACACCACAGCGTTCGCGTGCACCGCGCCGCGCGTGTGCACCTCAACGCCTGCGTACACCGCAACAGCCGTGTGCAACGCACCGCCCGTGTATACCACAATACTTGGGAGCACTACATCGCCGGTGTACATACACCGCAGCAGCCATGTGCAACACAGCGCGCGTGTACACCACAGTGCTTGCGTGCACCGCAACGACCGTGCACGCCACAGCGCCTGTCTGCACCACAGCATCCGCGTGCAACACAGCGCTGGTGTACAAAATGCCTGCGTGCATAGGACAAGTAGAAGGAGCATCTAGCATGTACGTCAGGATCTGATGCGGACAACTAAACGCCACGACAGGAAAGTTCTGATAATCGAATGCGAAGTTTTTTTCCCTTGTCCCTCCTCCTCCACCTCCTCCTCCTCCTCCTCGTTTTCCTCCTCCTCCTCGTCCTCGTTTTCCTCCTTCTTACCCCCTGTCGTGCGGCTTGGCGTTACAACGCACGTGCGCATCTCAGCGTGCACCGCAGAATGGTCGATTGAATCGGTCCACTCGGTTCTCGGACGGCCAGCTTAGCTGGAGCCTCCTGGGCGCAAATGGGACTTAGGGTGGTGCGGGCAGACTCGGGGGGACTCGTAGATTCCAGCGGCGCTCCTTTGTCCATGAGGATTTGTTTTCCATTGTTTTCTCTGGAATCCACACGCGTTCCATTTTGTCACAAGGATTACTTCTGACATTCTATACACAATAATGGTGCTGTGTTGCACACGGCTGATGTGGTGCACACAGGCGCCGTGGCGTACACAGGCACTGCAATGCACGCAGGCATTGTGGTGTACACTGGTGCTGTGTCGCGCACGGCTGATGTGGTGTACGGGGGCGCTGTGGTGTACACAGGAGTTGCTGTGCCCGCAGGCACGGTGGCACAAACTGACACTGTGTTGCACGCGGCTGCTGTGGTGTATCAGCGGTGTGGTGTACACAGGCGCTGTGGTGCACGCGGGCACTGTGATATACACAGGCGTTGTGGTGCATATCGCCCCGTCCATGTTCGTGCTACCCGTCCTCCGTCATTCCTGACCATTCCCAAACGCCGCCGGCGCGAAACGTGACGTCATCGACCTCGTCCCCCCCCAGATGATTGCCGTCATCGGCGCGGACTTAAAAATAGGCTCCAGCCGCGTCCGCGCGCACGAAGACGATGAGCGACGAGCGACGAACCACGAGAGACGACGACGAAGGACGACGACGACGACGACGACGACGACGACGCCTGCGGACCAGACACCTATGCGGATTCCTACGCGGACACCTACGCGGATCCCAATGCGCACGGCGGCAGTGCCCGGAGCGCACTGGGGGGGGAACGTTACGTCATAGGGGGGGGGAGCGGGGGCCATGACGCCCGTCATGCCCCAAACAATAAAGAAATGGCTCCCTGCGAGCCTCACGTTTCTCGACGCGAGCAGTGAAGCAATGCCCGGAAGAAGGCCTAAACATGACACCCTCGGAGGCTTTCCAAAATACCCGCTGTTGAGAAAAACAGAAGAAGCATAAACCGTCGGGGGTCCGAGCGGAATTCTTGGATCCACGCTGGGCCCCTCTCCGTGGCGCGCGGAGCGCGCCAGGGGTGGCGCCCGAGGAATCCCCACCAGCAGTGTAGTTTGTTCGACCACCTTCTGCCCTTCGAAGAGGCCGTCCACCCCCAATCACATTTTTGTTCCCATCGCCTTCGGCCGCGCCGCGCGGTTTCTCGGCGAATGAAAACGGAATCACGAAAGCGAAGTCACGAGCCCCACCCTCGACATAGGCGAGCGGTCAGGGGAATACAAGCCCCTACGCTGCCAGTCGAAGCCCCGCGCGCGCGGGGAGCACGGGCCCGGCGCGCGCGAGACCAAATGCACCGCCCGCCCCCTACCCCGCCCCTTGGGTCTGGACGGAGGGCGGGAACGTCCAATAAAAGACAGAGGGAAAAGCCAAGCGTACGTTTTAATATTCCTTCGGTTTGGGACCACTGCTTTGATCGATAACCTCAAAGGTGACCCGAAAATGGCCCGAAAAGCTTTCCAAAGAGCCGCACAAGGCCCCTTAGAAGCCCCCATGAGGCCCCCATGAGGCCCCCAACAAGAGGCCCCAAAAGGCCCCTGAGAAGCTTCAGGAGCACCAAAAACGCTCCAAGATGCACCCCGAGAGCTAACCTGATGCCCATCAAGAAGTTCACTATGCATCTGAAAGGCCATCCATCGACACCACAAGGGACCAACGAAGGATCGAAGGGACCTCTGGCCGACAAAAGCACCCTATACCTTCAAAGTGTGCCACGCTATTCGTTCAGGGGCGTCGTGTCCGGATGAGTTGGTGAGGAAACTTTTTTTGATCGCGACCGTAGCGGCAGATCGATCGGCGTGCAGTCGACGCGCAGCGAACGAGCAGCGGGCTAAATAATGCCCTGAGCGACATGAGCGGGCTACGCTGCCAAGCAGGAGGCGAAACCGAGGCTGAAGACCAGGTGGTACACGCCGAAGCCGACGAAGTCCAGGCTGAAGGCGATGCGCACCAAAATGGCGAAATGAAGTGGCACTGACCATGTCCAGGAAGAGGGCCAAAACAAATCGGGCGGCGTGCAAGCGCTCGACGACCACATAAAAACAAATGGAAGGCACGGCGAACGCCGCGGCGGGGGTCGACAGCCAGACCAACGACCCACCGGGGGCGGCAGAGCGCAGCGCCACGAGCCACCACTCACGTGAGAAAGGAGCACGTCAGGCGTAGTGGGGACGCGGGGCCCGATGAGAAGGGAGGCGTCCACCAACCAATGCGCGTCCAGCTGGTGGGGGTACTTTTTGGTCAACAGGCTCGCGAGGCGGGTCGACAACCGTCCGAACACTAGTCGGGCCGGGACTAGGCAGCAGGAAAAGAAAGGCCGAGCAAGCAGCCACTCAGAAGGAGGACCAGAACCGATACTCCCAAACCTGGTGGATTTGGAAATCCCGGTGGCGACCAGCAAGTAGGCACAACCAAAATGGCGCGGCGGCACGACCATAAACACGCAGAGGTCGATCGCTCGGTGTGAGTCAGGCAAACAGCACCGTCAGGGACGAACTAGACCGACAAGCACACCCAGACGACATCCGTGAACATCGTGTCGGCGCAAAAGTGAAGAGGGGCAACCTCATCACCGACAAGACTGCAAACGGCAGTAAAACCTGTAACATTTGTCGAAACGAAGTCCATGCAGGAGAACGTCGGCCAACGAGCGTACAGAGCCACACTTGCCGAACCCGAGGTCCAGGTACCGTAAAGGTAGGCAGTGTAGCGAGAGATCCACTGGAACCTTCCTGTCATCAGTAGGGGCCAACACCAGCCAGGAGCAGGCCAGGGGGCACCTGACCTCAGCGAGTGCGACGCAGCACCGTTCCCTGCGTGAGCCCTTGCATGAATTCCAAACCACCTGAACTCCATCAGGAAGCAGTATTGGGCAACAAACCCCAGCCGCCAGGGAAGAACCCTTTGAAACAGGAGGGAAAGCACCCCGGTGCAACAGCTGGCCGCTGTGGCATAAGGATGCAGGAGGAGAGGACGGGAAACGCACGCCAGGCACGGTAGGCACCACGGAGAAGCAGCCAACCGCTGCAGCACTAGGATGCAGGAGGGGAGGGAGGGAAGTGCACGCCAGGCACACAGTGTGGGTGCAACAGCATACCGCTGTGGTAGAAGGATGCAGAAGGAGAGGAGGGGAAGTGCACGCCAGGCACGGTAGGCACCACGGTGTGGCAGCTAACCGCTGCAGCATTAGGATGCAGAGGGGGAGGGAAGGACGTGCACGCCAGGCACACGGTGCGAGAGGAGGGGGGAGAAACATATACTCGAACAGTTGATGCTGACAGGGACAATCACGGTGGGCTGCCAGTCCACATGCCCTGTGTGATGCCAAAACCGCATCTCAACGAAACTGTGCGGTGCCCCGCTCTCGGTGTTACTGTCGATACCGTTTCTCGGTCCATGGGCTCTTGGTTGCTCGGCTCCCCTTCCCAGCCGTGCCCAAAGAGTACTCCCACATTACTGCGCGCGGCCAAGTGTCGGCGCCCACGGAATCCCGACCATCTCGCGGGGGTGCCTGGCGCCCCCTGTTCGCGCTGACCCAGTCGATACCCAGGCCCAATGAGTCGCTCATACATCGCAGCTGTGGCTGTAAAGTGAGGTCAGGAAGGCGACGCAGGTTCGCTGGTCGTGCCGACGCGGGTCGAAAGCGCGCGTGGTGCCAGGGGCAGTGTGTTGCACGGCAAAGGCGTGCCAGACGGCTGTGAAAGACGCACCCAGGGTGACCTGAAGGTGCCTGATCGTCTCGTTTGGTGACTCTCCGTCGGGTTCCCACTGGCAGTCGCGGGCCCGGGCTCTATAGAGCGGCCTTCCAGTGTGGGAGTCCCGTGGTCCTGGATGCTGGGCTGGTGGGGATACTTTTTTGATCAGCGGCCGCGGGCGAACGAGCCGGCGGCGAGTCAGGTCAAAGCGGGCTACGCACTGACGAATTAGGCAGAGGAAGCGCGAGAAAATTAAAGCAGAGGCAACGCGCGAGGCAACAGCTACGCGCCGGCCGAGGCCTCATGTGGGTGGCTGAAGGGACTGGGCCTGAGGGGAACTGCCAGCGTGCAAAGCCGCAAGTCCGTCTGATGCGCCATGAATCGGAAAGTCAACGAAGGCCAGGGACAGCTCCGAGAGAGAAAGCACGATACCGTACCTCAGACAACTGCGTGGGCAAAACTGGTGAGGATACGCGAAGCGCTAAGAATTGATGTTAATGATGTGTTTTTCTTAGGGCTGCACCGCCCAGAAGAAGACCTCTGTGTAGTTGAGGCCTCCTTGATGGGGTCCGAACAGGTGGAGTCGGAGGATGACCCCATCGCCGATACGTCGGCGCCGTCGGCGTGGAGAAAGTCTGGCTCCACATCGAGCCGCAGCGCCAATGCCTCGGCGGCGCGGTCCCCCGACCCCAACTACTCCGACCCCGCCTGCGCGACAGACAGGACAGGGCCTTACGCGATATGGCACAATGGCCTTGCGCCGCGGCTTGCGCGGCTCGCTAGCGCGGCACTCTGAATTCTAACCGAGGGCGCTTACGCGCGTCTTTGCGGGCCGCTTGCGGGCCAATGTCGGTGAAGACGGCCCCGCTTTCTTCCGTCGCTCCTCTGGGAGGCCTCGATCGTGACAATTTCTGGCGGATTTCCAGAAAGCACCCGTCGGCGAGCACATGCCCATGGCGGCGCCGCGCTGGAGTCCGCTGGGGGGTCTGATCTGGTTTGGGACTCCAAGAGAATCGGACACGCGGGGGGACGAGGCCAAGTTTACGTTGGGCGTGTCCTCCTTGAGGCGGATTTTGGACGGAACAAATCAAAAATAGCCAAACCATGCTCGGATTTTGGACGGAACAAATCAAAAATAGCCAAACCATGCTCAAACGAAATCAAACATAATAGAAACATCGTCCCCTGACTATTTGTTGGCTATTATTTTCAAAGAATCATCCTGTATGAGGACGTGTCCGACTTAAAGCCAAATCCGCTCGAAATCGGTCCACGGACCCCTCCTGGTGTCCACCGGGTGCCGTCTGTCACCCTGGGTCCGGTTCTGACTGTCCCCACGCCGCAAAACGGCCCCCAGTGATGGGCCCATTTCCGACTACCACTACCATAGGTAGGAGAGGGAGGAGGAGGAAGAGGAGGGGGAGGAGCAGGAGGAGGATGATGAGGACCTCCTTATCCTCCCTTCTTCCCCGTCTCACACATGGTAGTGGTGGTGGAAAGCTTGCCCATCACCCAGAGGCAAAAAGAGTCGAAAGCTCTGCCCGAGTTCAGCACCTCGAACCTGCCCGCCCCTCCTGCTGGCCAGAACCACTGCGTGGCCGCCTCCGACCCCCAGGGCGGCTCTCAGCGCCGCAGACCTCGTCGGTCTTGCCACCGCTCGGATGCCCCTCCCCGTGCATTTGTCGCTATGCCGCGTGTCCTTTTTTGGGGTCTCGGGGATACAGGATGCTCCTCGATGGTCCTCGCCGCGAAACAACTGCACACGCCCGATCGATGCCAAGCGGTGGGGCGGCGCGCGCGGGAGGGGGAGAAGGAGGAGGAGGAGGAGAGGGAGGAGGAGGAGGAGGAGGAGGAGGAGGAGGAGGAGGAGGAGGAGGAGGAGGAGGAGGAGGAGGAGGAGAGGAGGAGGAGGAGGAGGAGGAGGAGGAGGAGGAGGGAGGAGGAGGAGGAGGAGGGGGAGGAGGAGAAGGAGGAGGAGGAGAAGGCGGAGGAGGAGGAGGAGGAGGTAAAGGAGGAGGAGGAGGAGCCGGAGGAGAAGAAGGGGAGGAGGAGGAGAAGGAGGAGGAGGAGGAGGAGGAGGAGGAGGAGGAGGAGGAGGAGGATGGGAGGAGGAGGAGGAGGAGCAAGAGGAGCAAGAGGAGGGGAGAAGGAGAAGAAGGAGGAGAAGGAGAAGAAGGAGGAGGAGAAGGAGGAGGATTGGGAGGAGGAGAAGGAGGAGGAGGAGGAAGAGGAGGAGGATGAGGAGGAGGGGGGGGAGGGGGAGGGAGGATAGGAGGAGGAGAAGAGGAGGAGGAGGAGGAGGAGGAGGAGGAGGAGCAAGCGGAGGAGGAGGAGGAGGAGGAGGAGGAGGATGAGGGAGGAGGAGGAGGAGGAGGAGGAGGAGGAGGAGGGGGGGAGGAGGAGGAGGAGGAGGCGGGCGTAGGCCTCGCGCTGGTGGGCCTCGGCGATCCTCGCGACCGCGCTCTCCACCGCGCCGCGGAAGTCCTCCTCTGGGCCCCCCCGGCCCTGGCGCGGCCGCCTCCTCCTCTGGCTCGTGTTTCGCCTGCTCCCCCTCTTCCTCTTCCCCCCTCCAGGAGGGAGGGAGGAAGAGGGGGAGCAGATGAGGAGGGCAAGGTTCAGGAGGGGGAAAAAGCATGGCGATGATGATGATGATGATGATGATGATGATGATGATGATGATGATGATGATGATGATGATGATGATGATGATGATGATGAGGATGAGGATGATGATGATGATGCTGATGCTGATGCTGATGCTGATGATGATGCTGATGCTGATGCTGATGCTGCTGATGATGATGATATGATGATGATGATGATGATGCTGATGCTGATGCTGATGATGATGCTGATGATGATGATGATGAGGAGGAGGAGGAGGAGGAGGAGGAGGAGGAGGAAGAGAGAGAGGCAGCGGCAAGAGGTGGATGCGGAGGCGGAGGGATAGAGGGAGAAAGGAGAGAGCGTGAAAGACCCTTCCTCGGCCACATTCTCCACCTCCTCCTCCTCGTCGTTCCCCTCCTCCTCTCCTTTCCTCTCCTCCGCATCGTCTGTCTGCACCGAAGAGGGCGACGAAGCAGGGGGGGGAGGGGGGGCAGACCCATACCGCTACTTCCCGGGCCTCTCCAGGGGTGCATTCTGATTTGACTTGCTGGGGGAATCGAGCCATAGTGGCGAGGGGTCTCCAGGCTCCGAGCAGCGGTGTCCGTATCCGGCACATCCCTTCCAACGGCCGAGCGCGCCCAACAGGGGCTGCCGCGGACTGTGCACCGTGCTGATTCCACCTCCGCCGCGCCGGCCTGTGCGGGCAGCTCCAGCGCTCGTCTGCCATGATCCTCAGCAGTGCCCTTCGGGACACAGGATGTGGAGTGGGACTGGCTTGAATTCGCAACTGACCACGCTGTGGTCACGAGCTCGGCAGAGCTTCCCGCCCGACAGCGCCCTCCTCACAAGCAACCGTGGCCTTCGCGGGGATTGTGGCCAGGGGAATGCCCTTCAGGATGTGGAGGGGCGGGGGAGGAGGAGAGGGGGGGGGGGCAAGCTAGGTGCGCCTGCGTTATATCAGACGTCCTATCCCTTCCTCCCATCCCTTACCATGTTAGATCTCCTCTCTCTTCGCACAGTCGGATTTCCAGGAGGGCAATGATCGCGAGAGGGTACGCGATGCATGGCAGAGCACGGCATGGCATGGCGTAGAAGAGCACGGCAGAGCGTAGCATGCCATAGCATGGCGTGGTATTGCACAGTGAAGCATTGAATCACAAAGCATTGCAACGCAAAACTTTGTGTTGTAACAAAGAGTACGCGGAAAGGGGGCCGAATATCTTCCGGACGTCATCAGGGGAGAGAGGAGAGTAGTATTCGTATTGCGTAACTGTGGAGGGGAAGGCGGCAGGCAAGGCTGGCTGGGGCAGGGTCCAAGAAAAGAGGAGCAACACATTCCGCAAACGTGAACTCTTGGTGGCCAGCAGGCGCCCGGCTGGCCCCCGACGTCGCGGTCGGCCGCGGCGTCGGTGGACCGATGATGTGGATGCGCTTCTGCAACACGAGCGCGGCACGCTCCTCATGAATGTCGTCCGCAGCCAACAGCACTTCCCTTGGAAGCGATTGGAGAATTCATTCCTCAGTCAAATGCGCTGGCACGCCTGACGTATGATACACATTTAGTAGACGTTTGTATCGTCCCTTCTCGTGCATGCACTTTTCATTGCCGTAGTGTCACAGGCCCTCGTCTCCGTTTGCGGAGCGAATGGCCTTCCCGTGACACCGACTCGGACACACACACACACACACACACACACACACACACACACACACACACACACACACACACACACACAGACCGGCCATTCCCCACCTCCTCCTCGAAGCTCGAGGCTGCGGCACGCCTCCCTCTCCGCCTGCTCCTCATCCTCCTCCTCCTCCTCCTCCTCCTCCTCCTCCTCTTCCTCCTCCTTCTGCTCCTCCTCCTCCTCCTCCTCCTCCTCCTCCTCCTCCTCCTCCTCCTCCTCCTCCTCCTGCTCCTCCTCCCGGAGGGGAGGTGGAAAGGAGGGCGGAGACTGTGGGAGGCGGGGAGATGGAGAGCGCGGGGGGGGGGCGGGAGGACGGTGGCCGAGGCGGGGAGGATGGACGGAGAGCGGCGGCGGGAGGCGGCGGGGAGGAAGGGCGGGGGGGGGGCGGAGGCAGGGAGGAGGCGGGAGGGAGGAAGAATGGGGCCCGGGGAGAGACGGAGCCAGGGTGGGGACACATCGAGGATCTCCGAGATCCAGCGGCCCTGAAGGATGCCCTGCGGGCGTGCCGCGGCCTCCTCGGAGCGCTCCGGAACGCTCTGGGAGCGCCCTGGAACGGATCGTTCCTCATCCTGGCCCCGTCCGACGGGCCTGCCTCGGGGGGTGGGGGAGGAGGAGGAGGAGGAGGAGGAGGAGGAGGAGGAGGAGGAGGAGGAGGAGGATCATGCTGGATCATGCTGCGATGCCACACACGTGGCCAGTTCAATCGCTGTCACCGCTATCATCACCACCGCTGCCCAACCCCTGCACACGAGCACCAGCGAGCACTGTCTGCCCCTGACCCTGGGCTCTGAGCTGGGCAGCGACTTCCTCAAGCTCATTCTCCTCATGCAAGCGAGCGGCAGCGGCAGCAAAAGCAGCAGCCGCGTCCTCGCCCACGGGTGGGGCGTCCTCGCAGACCGTCATCACGTCGGCCAGCTCTCCGACAGGGCGATCGGACGAGCGGGCCACATACTCATCAAAAATGGGCCTCTCCTCCATTGGCCTCACGGCACCACCCACGCCCCCAGTTCCTTCCCGAGGGGGTGGCGGGAGGGCTCGCGCAGCAACATCCAGCGCCGCCGCCTCACGCAAGGCCACGGGTGGGCCCCGATAAGACGGAAAAACACCCTTCTTAATTCGCTTGAGGTTTTCGCCCCCCTTTCGAGTGGGGGGGGCACACACTCTCTGAAGCCACCGACCGTCTGTCGTGGCTGTGAAACCACATCGCTGACAGAAGGTCAGCCCGAACGCACGCATCCTGGCGAGGCGGTGGCTGTGGTGAAGCTTCACAGCGCCAACCCACACCTCTCCCGAGATCGCCTCGAAACCCTCTCCAAACTCAGGGCTCAAACCCAGCGTTTCAGCCGAATCCGACGGCAGCGACGGGATCGGAACGCGGCACGGGGTCGAGGCGACAGCGAGCACCTGGCTCCTCGGGACAATCACCTTGCACACATCGCAACGCCAGCGACCAGCGAACGGGCGAAACTTGTGCGCACTATCGCGGATCGCCTGGTCGAATTTAGTGGGCTTGCGGACCTTGGACGCTGGCGGAGCTCTGACCCCTTCCCAAGGTTCAACCTCGAGCGCCAGCATCATCGCCCTTCTGGCCCTTCTACGCACCAGTGCCGCCGTCGTATCCCACAGGTCAGTCCGAGGGGGAGGGGCCACCACACACCAATCCCAGGACCACTGGGCCACCACCCCCGCATAGGCGTCGGCACTGGCGTTGCCCTGGCACATAAAAATATCAAACGGGGAAGTTACCGACTGCAGATTTTCCTCCGTGTGGGAGGGCGTCCAGAAAAGCGAAACCTCCCCAGGGCCACGGGGGCGGAGAGCCCGAGAAGCACGAACCCACAAGTCCCCGTTCGGGCCCCGAGGGGAGGAGGCACGGCCACCGAGCCAATCAGAAAGCAAACTCTTGCAGTCGGTAATATAGCATGACGGACCTTGCGAGTGCTCAAGCGCGAGACAGAAGGCCTGGAGCTCTGCTCTAGGGACCGTTTGCCGACGGCCTGACAAAACCTGTCCTACACCGCACTGAGGCACCCAAGAATTAGGCGACGAGGGGTCCTGGCACATCATCACCACAGCCGAGCCGCGTCGCCTACGCCTGGGATCAGAGCTGAACTCGCCCCCAGATCCGTCACCGAAGATAAACACAGGAGGGCCTCCAGGCTCCGAGCAGAAATCGGCAATACAGCCATCCCCCAGAAGGACCTCCTGGGCCGTTTCCGCAGTCTCGACAAACCTAGGCACCGTGAGGTCCTTCGAGGGCACTCCCCTGAGCCACAAGGCCGGCTGGGCCTCAAGGCCCGCGAGGGCCTGGGGGGTCAAAAAATCCGTTTTTGAAAAGTCTTCGTGTCCGCAATTGGCTGGGCATAGCCAAATGCGGTGAGCTAAAGTCTCAGGCTGCTCCTTACATCGGGGGCAAAGCGGCGGGCAGGAATATCCTGCGGCAATCTGCCGCTCACGAGTCCACTGGCCCCCCGAGATGACGGCAATGTCGGCGGCCCACTCGTCGAACTTGGACTTGGCAGCCAGGCGGTTCAGCTCAATCTGCACCGTCGTCATGTCCGCTCCTGCTGCCAGATCCTCGCCCGCCCCATGGTGGGCCGCTTCCTTCCACTGCAGCTGAACACAATCATCCATGAAAGCGCCGAGCATATCCTGAAAATGCGAAGGAACAGCTGTAGCGAACTGCTCATCACCAAAAGCAGGAAACAGCCAATCATCGATCGTACCATCTGGCAAGGGACGTGACCAGACATCAGGACTTTGCGGATCCCAGCCAATCTGCAAGAGCGTGGCCTGCACCGCGGCGATGGGGCCGCGCGCATCCTTCCACTTCACCACCTGTCGCTCAGCAGCGCCACGACGCAACTTCGCCAGTGTGATCGGCCACATCTTGCGAATGCGAGGATGGAGCATCGGCTGGGAAAGCCACAAAGCAATCCACTCCTTAATCATCTGCTTCCTCAAATCTATGCCAGGATCAGGAACCCCAAACACAGCTTGTAATACAGAATTCAAACACCTGCCACGCTTCGTCCCAGCAACACTCGCTGCAGCATCCCGCCTCGAAGCCAACAGAGAAGATGGAGGGGTGCCCATTATCTGATGGCCAAAGACTGCAGCAGGTAACACTCCAGTGGTGTAGAGCTTCTTGGTGATGAACCTGGTCTTGGGAAGCTGCCTCAATCGCATAACTTTTCGCTGCCGCCGTCGAGCCTGCGCACTTCGTTTCATCATCCGAGGCGCTGTCCGCCGTCGCCCTGCAGCAGCATCAGAGCCCAAGTCGACAGTGGAGCGCACGAACTGCACAGGGATACCTTTGCGAACCAGTCGACGCTGTAACTCCACACCCATCTCATCAGAACTGGCGACAAGCTTCGTTTTGTTAGAAATCTTCAACCTGAGCTTCTTGAGCCCAGTGGCCATAGCGTCAGCAGAAGCGTCCAACTTATCAATCACCTGCTGCGTTTTGCCCTCCGCCCGACCGGCAATATCATCCACATAACTCCACAATCCAGTCGGGGGACAAGCACGGTGAACCTCATCCAGCAACTGATGAAGCATAACTTTGGCGAGCGGAACGCCATGTCCAGAACCAGCGACGATCGAACGTGAAACCACCAAGGCGTCCGATATCATCTGGCCCTTCTTCAAAAGCCTGGGAGAAGAGTAAAGACCCACTTCCAATAAGAGGAAGATTGCTGGAAATCCGATGTTCAAGCCAGCCTGCATCAGCAACACGAAAGACACCGAGTCGTAGAACTTAGTGAGGTCCAAGAACAGTGTCGCATGCTCAAAAGACAAGGCGTTGGCGCCTTCATCCATCACAGCTCTGATCAGTGCCGCTCTGAGCGCTGAAGATCCAGCAATAGCAGTATCCCAAAATGCAGATTGGGCAGCTGACCATTCACCTGAGTGTTTCGCACGCACCTTAGACCATATTCTGTGCGGCGTCGGAGCCCGCCCCAACACTCTGTTGCCTCCAGCTTCCTTGGGAATCGCAGCGCCCAGGACCGAGCTGAGGGGCGACGGCCAGGCGCCAGCCTGCTCGATATTATTCAATATATCCACAAGACGCTGCCTTGCCACCAATGGCTGTCGCTGAATATCAATGGGGTTCAGCACGTCCACGCCCTTCGCCTTCGTCGCTGGCAGCGTGGGCAGCACAGCGTCCACGTCCATGATGGCGATAGCAGGAAGTGGGTCATCTCGAGCAGCTGACAGACACTGGCCCATCATATACAAAATATCTGCAGGCTGATCGACAGGATCTCGCCACATCGCATTCCATTCAGAGGCAGACGTCTGGAGCATCGTCTGCTTGTCCGTGGTGATAGCACCTGCCGCGTCGCGGCCCTCCCACTCCAAGGGCGGAGCCTGCTTCGCATGCCGATGTACATCACCAGGCTTAGATGACCAGGACTCCTTCACCCACTTGACAAAGGACGAGCGCGAAGCTAACAAAGCCCGAGAAGTCGACAAGTCCGCCCACTTGCGCGCGGTGTCCACCAAGGAAGTGAGCTGGCCAACAGGGGCGCGATCCAAATCAGCAGCCATAGCTTTCCACAACTCAACCTCCTCAGCGGTGGACTTCTTGCCGAAGTACTCGACCGTCTTATCAGCAGGCAAGACTCCAATCCTGGCCTGTACTTCACGTGCACAGTAAGCAGCCTGATCAGGATCAGCACCATTAACACGGAGAGCCGCATGCCGAAACAACAAAGTGCTGACAACACCCCACCACTCGGCCTGCTCGTTCTTCATGTGAGCGCGCCCAGGGGAGGAAGTGACCTTGGCCCAATAGCAAGCAGGGCCACGAGCACGACCTGAGAACTGCATCCAAGTACCGGCATCGACCTGCTCGTGAATCAAAGTGGCACGCTCCAATGTAGAAATCCAAGCTCCGTAAGACACATCCAGCCGAGCACGATCCTCAGGTTGCCATTCAAAGACAAAGTGCTGACTGCGGTCGAAAGCTGCAACTTTGCCACGGGCACCCTCTGGCTCATCCTCAAACAGCTGGGGGAGGCCCTCCCAATGCACCTGTGTCTGAGCTTCAAACCAAGTCTCCTCAGGAATGGCGAAAGACACAGTGGGCGCTGGCGGAGGCGCTGGCGGCTCCAGCTCGTCGAAGCCCTCCTGGAACTCGATGGGAAGCGCCTGCATGCGCCTCTGCCTCTGCTCTTCTCTCTTTTTAGACCGCTTACTCGCAGGATCAGCAACTGCAACGGGTCTATCACGAACGGGAAGAGGCTCGGGCACTGCCAGGTGCCTATACCATCGCTGAGAACGGGCAGCCTTCACAGTAACAACCACTCCACAGTGTGTCTCCCATGGCACACGCAACTCAGCTCGAAGCGACAACTCTGGACAACCAACACTGGCAAGACCATAATCGTACATGCGCCCTGGCCCTTTGTCGCAGGTCGCTCGGCAGGACGGCGTCACCGCGACGGCGCCGAGCTTCTGGGGCCAACCAGTGCCTCGCAAGGCCGCGGGCTCGATGTTCCAGTCCGCCATCGCCAGCCAGGGGTCCGCGAGCGCGCGCGTGAAAGCCCCCAGCGCCACCAGCGCGTCATGGTTCCAGCCCTTCACGCCGAGGCCTGGCTGGAGGTAGGCAGCGATCAGGATCAAGTTGCCGCCCCTGGCGTGGATCACCGTCGGCGCGAAGCCACGGCAAGGGTCCAGGCGCCCAGCAGCGAGCGCCGTACGCCGAGCACTCTCAAAGCTCGACGTCGCCACATGTTTCTTCGCCAGAATCCACTCGCCACCAGACAAGCCAGCCACTGACTTGCCCGAAGGGCGGGCGGCCGTGTAAGCCAAACGCCAGCCGTCTTTATCAATCGCCTGGCAGATGTCTGGCATGTCCTTCTCTCCTTCGTGTGTCTCAACTAGGGCCACGATGCTGCGCTCCTGCTCCTGGGCTGAGAAACGCGCAGCCTGCGGGCCCCGCTCCGTGATGTTGCCGAAAAAGATGTCCAAGGACGTGTCGTCATCAGACTCTGGATGAGGTACGCCTGCAGCTCCCCCCCTGCAGGACGGGGGGCGAGCCGTGCTAAACACGGCCTGCGCCAGCACCAGCAGCCGCAACGCCCTTGCCAGCGCCCGCATTGCCGCCTTTGCCAGCGCCAGCGGCCTTGCCATCAGCGGCCGCACGCGCCTGCGCCTGGGCGCAGCTCTTGATGCGCTCCAGCATGGCCTTCTGGTCGCTCTCCTGCACCACGACCTTCGCCTTGCTGGGCCCAGCAGCGGCAGCAGCGGCGCCGGGCGCCGCAGCGGCGCAGCACGCCGCGGGCGTGCCTTCGGCGCCGCCGCCAGCAACGGCCTCGCCATCGGCGCCGCGCTTGCGCCGCTTGGCCGCCGCCGCCGTGTGCGCCGACCTCGTGCGCTCCAGCAAGTCCTGGAACTCCTTCTGCTTGGCGTCGACCAGCTGGGTGACCTCCTCCAGCTGCTTCTGGAAATGCTCAAGCGCCTGCCTGTCGGACTCCTCCAGCTCATCGAGGCACTCGAACAGCCCAGGGTCCAGGACGAAGCCCGACTGCTTGGTGGCCGCCTCGGGCGGGTTCGCCGCCTCCTGCACCTCCAGACGGTGCAGATCGGCGGCCAAGACAGCGTCCGCCGCCTCGTCGAACTTGGCCTGGTCCTTCTCAAGCTGGAGGCGGGACTGCTCCAGCTTCTTCGCGGCCTTCTCCAAAGCCTCCTGCTTGCGAGAGCAATCCGCCGTAGCCTCCTTGAGCAGAGCATGCTGGGGCTTGGGCGGCGGCGCAGGGGCCGCCGCGAGCTTCTGGGACGCCAGGGTGCTGAACTCCGTCGCAAGGCGCGCCGCGTCTGGGTCCCCATCGAGACCTGCACCAGCGAGAGCCTTCGACAGGTAGTCCCCGAAGTTGGCGAGAGACGGCTGAGACTGCCCATGGTCATGCCATCCACCGCCCGAGGACCACGGCGCCCACCACGTGCCGCTCGTCGTAGTACTCCATCCTGGCTGAGGGGTATTGCAGACTGCGCACACCCCTTTCTGCTTCTTGAGCCTCCAATTCCACGCCCAGTTGCCACACTGCACGCAAGTGGAGAAACCCTGCTTGCCATACTTGACCATCCGCTCCTGCAGGAGCTCACAAAGTATGCTCCGACAGGAGCTCACAAAAGCACTTCAGACTGGCTCGGGAGACAGAGCTATCCCAGTTTGGCACGGAGGCGCGGAGCCCCCTCGGTGCATCAGCCTTGAGCCAAAATGGCTACGGAAGGAGGAGGAGGAGGAGGAGGAGGAGGAGGAGGAGGAGGAGGAGGAGGAGGAGGAGGAGGAGGAGGAGGAGGAGGAGGAGGAGGAGGAGGAGGAGGAGGAGGAGGAGGAGGAGGAGGAAGGGTCGCGCCGACACTCGTCCGCCAAGGGGGCCTACGGGGGGTGGGGAGGGGGGCGGGCGCGTCGGGGGAGGGAGGCGGGGGTCCTCGGCGCAGGCGGCCGCGAGGCCGTCGCCCGCCATGGGCCCCTGGGAGGCCGCCGGGTCCGGCGGGCAGGGCGGGCGGCGGGAGGGTGAGAGGGAGACGCGTTGCGGAAGCCTATCGGCTGCACGCAAGAGTGACCCTGGGTAAGAGTGACCTTTGGTGCGCGGCTTTCTGGGGGCCAACGGGGGAACAAGCCTGGGCGCGCAAGCTGCTGCTCCTGCTTCGGTTTCAGCCATCTGGGGACCCATCTGTGCCCGCACCAAAGGTCACTCTGGCGAAAGGTCACTCTTACGTCTAGTCGAGCCTAGGGCAGAAAACCATCTCTCAGAGCATAGTGGGCCCGGCGCGACCCCAATGAGGGGGAAGCTTCCTGGTGCTGCAAGGGCGCCGTGCTTGGCATGGCTTGGCACTGCTTGGCAGTGCATGGAGGGCCCCAAGACGGCCCAGGGAGGCTCCCAAGACGGCTCCCGAACGCGGCAAGAGTGCCAGGAACGGCGCAAGATAGCCAAAGAGGCCCCCAAGAAGCACCCAAAGGTCCCCAAGAGGCCCAAGGAGGCCCCCACGAGGCCTCCAAGAGGCCCCCAGGAAGCTCCGAGGAGGCCCCAAGAGTGATCCAAGAAACTCCCAAAAGGTCTCACCATCCTTCTCATCCTCCTTGTTCCTGCCAACCTCGTCCTCCTCTTCTTCCCCCGCGTGCTCCCCGAAGGGCTTCCACAACGGCTGGGCGAACGCATGGGTCGATAGCTTGGCCAATCTTTGCCCACGCGTTTGGCCGCATAGGCGAACCCCAAAAAGGCAGGGAGCGGCGGTGATTCTTCGCAGGCGCCGTTGAGAAACATTAGACAACTCTGCGGTCTGCGCGGGATTCTCCGATCGGCGCTGGACCCTCTCCCTGGCGCGCGGGGCGCGCCAGGGGGCGGGGGGGGCTCCAGTCGGAGACATCTGCGCAGGCCTCCTTGCACTTCTTGAAGGGTCCCTGGGACACACAAAGAAATACACACAAATAACAGGATTCCCCATATGTTCCCATGTGTTCTGGGTTCTTGTCTTCCCCCCCACTTCCCATAGTCTCCCATCTTGTTCTAAGAATCGTAATTGTGTCTGCGTGCTCGTTCCCCTCCTGGCTGATGATGTCACTGGTTGCTCCCCGAGTGGGGGAGCAGCAGCCCGGACCCCCCGACGCCATGATTTTGTCCCAGCCATCCTGTGGTCCTTTTCTGAGGAGACAGCGCCCCGCCTCTCCCCGCCCCGCCTCTCCTCGCCTCCTCCCCCTCCCCCCGTTCCTCCCTCCTCCCCCTCCTCCGCGCCTCTCCTCTCCTCTCCTCTCCTCTCCTCTCCTCTCCACTCCTCTCCTTTTTTCCTCCTCCCCTCCCCTCCTCCCCCCTCCCCCTCATCCACCATCAGCGCCTCTCCTCTCCTCTCCTCTCCTCTCCTCTCCTCTCCTCTCCTCTCCTCTCCTCTCCTCTCCTCCTTTTCCTCCTCCCCCTTCTCCCTCCTCCCCCTCCTCCCACCATCAGCAAACCGAAGGCCCCAGTGGCAGGGCTCGCATGCACTTCCACCCTCATCTCGTAGCACCCCTCACACGGTTCGTGGCCCCAGAGGGGGGCTCCGACGAAGGCCCCAGCGGCAGGATTCGCATGCACTTTCACCCTCATTGCGGCGCACCCCTCACACGTTTCGTGGCCCCATAGGGAGCTCCATCGAATGCATCAGTGGCAGAGTTCGTATGCAGTTCCGCCCTCATTTCGGCGCACCCCTCACACGGCTCGTGGACACATGGAGCTCCATCGAAGGCCCCAGTGGCAGGATTCGCGTGCAGCTCCACCTTCATTTCGGCGCACCCCTCACACGGTTCGTGGCCCCATAGGGAGCTGCACCGAAGACCACAGCAGCAGGGTTCGCATGCAGTTCCTCCCCCATTTCGGCGCACCCCTCACACGGTCCGTAGCTACATAGGGAGCTCCACCGAAGGCCACATTGGCAGGGTTCGCATGCATTTCCACCCTCATTCCCAACCATCCTGTGGTGTTGGGTCTTCGTTTTGAAGAGACGGTGGCCCGCGTCTCCTCTCCTCCTCTCCTCCTCCCCCTCCTCCTTGCGTTTCACCCACCCAGCACAGCGTTTCGTAGCCCCATAAGGAGCTCCACCGAAGGCGCCAGTGGCAGGGTTCGCATGGCGGCCTCGGGCCATTTCGGCACACCCCTCTCGAGGATCGTGGCCCCATAGGGAGCTCCACCGAAGGCTCCACTGGCAGGGTTCGCATGGCGGCCTCGGGCCGGGCCATTTCGGCACACCCTTCTCGAGGATCGTAGACTCATAAGGGAGCTCCACCGAAGGCCCTAGTGGCAGGGTTCGCATGGCGGCCTCGGGCCATTTCGGCACACCCCTCACGAGGATCGTGGCCCCATAGGGAGCTCCACCGAAGGCCCAGTGGCAGGGTTCGCATGGCGGCCTCGGGCCATTTCGGCACACCCCTCACGAGGATCGTGGCCCCATAGGGAGCTCCACCGAAGGCGCCAGTGGCAGGGTTCGCATGGCGGCATCGGGCCATTTCGGCACACCCCTCACGAGGATCGTGGCCCCATAGGAAGCTCCACCGAAGGCCCTAGCGGCAGGGTTCGCATGGCGGCCTCGGGCCATTTCGGCACACCCCTCACGAGGATCGTGGCCCCATAGGGAGCTCCACCGACTGCCCCCAGTGGCAGGGTTCGCATGGCGGCCTTGGGCCATTTCGGCACACCCCTCACGAGGATCGTGGCCCCATAGGGGGCTCCGCCGAAGGCCCCCAGTGGCAGGGTTCGCACGGCGGCCTCGGGCCATTTCGGCACACCCCTCACGACGATCGTGGCTCCACAGGGAGCTCCACCGAAGGCGCCAGTGGCAGGGTTCGCATGGCGGCCTCGGGCCATGTCGGCGCACCCCTCACGAGGATCGCGGCCCCATAGGGAGCTCCACCGAAGGCCCCAGTGGCAGGGTTCGCATGGCGGCTTCGGGCCATTTCGGCACACCCCTCACGAGGACCGTGGCCCTACTGCAGCTCCACCGAAGGCGCCAATGGCAGGGTTCGCATGGCGGCCCCGGGCCATTTCGGCACACCCCTCACGAGGATCGTGGCCCCATAGTTGCGCTGCTTCAACAACCGCGCCTGGGCGTCGTACTCCGCCTTGTCGACGTGCAACGCCACCTCCACCCTCATGGCTCTCAAGGCCCTTTCCTGCTTCTGCTCCTCGGTGAGAGGGACGCCGTCCTTGTCGTCGTCGGCGCCCGCGAAGACGGCCACGAACGTGTCCCTGAGCATGTCGGGCTCCGGCGGGAAGCCGTGGCCACATAGGGAGCGCGGGCGAAGATGGTATTCACAATTGCGGTATTCACAACTGCATATGGTTGGGTCCTTCGCCAGGATAAGTTTTGCGCACCCCTCACACGGTTCGTGGCCCCATAGGCCCATAGGGAGCTCCACCGAATGCATCAGTGGCAGGTCTCGTATGCAGTTCCACCCTCATTTCGGCGCACCCCTCACACGTTTCGTGGCCACATGGGGAGCTCCACCGAAGGCTCCAGAGGCAAGGATCGCATGCAGTTCGACCCTTATGTCGGCGCACCCCTCACACGGTTCATGACCCCATAGGGAGCTCCGACAAAGGCCCCAGCGGCAAGGTTCGCATGCACCTTCGCCCTCATTTCGGTGCCCCTCTCACACGGCTCGTGGCCCCAAAGGGGCTCCACCGAAGGCCCCAGTGGCAGGGCTCGCATGCAGTTCCACCCTCATTCCGGCACACCCCTCACTCGTCTCGTGGAACCATTGGGAGTCCGCCGAAGGCCTCAGTGGCAGGCCTCGCATGCCGTTCCACCCCCATTTCGGCACACCCCTCGCTACGGCACCCACATAATTATGCACATGATTGGTCTCTTCGCCAGGCTAATTCGGAACGTCGACCCTGGAGATCGCAACCCATTTTGAAGGCCTGGGAATGGGCACCAACACCAAGACAGGGGGCTGCCTCCACGGGGGGGAGATAATCCTAGATTTCGATGTTGGTGGTAATATTTCGGCCGCCTTGGAAGCCAGAGTATTACCACCATCACCGAGATCGGGATCTTTCTTCCCTCGGTGGAGGAACACCGCCGATATTGGTGTTGGTGTCAATCTCTAGGCCTGCGACCGTTCCCAAAATACCGGTTATTCATCCTGAGTCGTTGCTTGACGCTCCCGAGGCCCTGTGAGGGCCTCCTGCGGGCGAGGGCAACAAAAAGCCGCCCGCTGCGGCTGATTCCGGACCTGGGGGGGCCTGGGAGGGGGAAGGGGGAGAGGCACGGGGAACAACTATTAAGAGGCAACTACTAGGAGGTCTTCGTCCGAAGGATTAGGATGGATTAAGCCTCCATTTAGAGTAAGCCGGACTAAGCCGGATGAAGCGGAATTAAGCCAGATTTCGGACCAGGACAAAATCAGAATTTGATCTCCCAGGAGTTGCATCCGAAGGGGAAGGGGGAGAGGCACGGGGAACACCTGGGAGCGACGCGAAGGCGTTTTCCTGCCATCCGACGGGCTCAGGGGGCGCTCCCCGGGCGCAGCTGCCGGCTGGCCCCCCAGCAGCAGGGCCATGGCGCCGTCGTCGCAGCCCCGGAGGCGCTGGCCGCCGCCGGCGCGGCAGGCGGGCAGCTGCTCGGACACGTCCCGGCCGTTCCAGAGGACGCGCCACCTGAACGACGGAGAGCAGACCTGTCTGACGCGAGATGACATGGCGACCTCACGCTGCGGCTTCCGCGGGCCGCCGGCGCGGCACGCTTCATTGGAGACGAGGGCGCTCACGCGCGACCTCACGCGGGGGAACTGACGCGCCAATGTCGGCGCAGCCGAACCCAATGTCGACGCAGCCGACTGTATTTCGGTGGCAACTCCAGGGAACAAAATAAAGCGACATGGATTGACAAAAGCTTCCAGAGCTCCGCGCAGATTTCTTGAATCGGTGCTGGGCGAACCCTGGCGGCGCCTCTCAAGGCGTCCCTGGTGCGCTTCGCGTGCCAGGGAGGCCGATCCAAGAAATCCGCGCGGGGCTCCAACATATTATGGATCATGATTATGAATTTTGTTCTTATTCGATCATGGGAGCCTCACGTGGCATCTTGTTGGCCGTTGCGTATCGACGCAGGTCGATTTTAATCGACGCTAACTCGCGGCTAATCGACGCGATTCCACGAAAGATCGGCGCTATCCAATCGATCACCCGACGCTGATCAACGCTAAGGCACTGCAGAGACGGAATAGCGAGGGTGTGACCACAAGGCTCCCATGAGTTGCTACCGAATTGCAGTGGGATGTGATTATGTTTGGGTGTCCCGCCCCACTCCCTGGCGTGCACTGTCCTTACACGTTTTCGGCTCCAGGGTTTCGTCCGCCTGGACGGCGCAGCGCTCAGCAGCAGTTGGGCGCTCGAGTTCCTTCAGATGACGATCCTGGGAGCCTTTTATTGTCACTTTGGCTTTCCTGCGATGCGCCTCCAGTGGGTCACAGTCGCTTGCTGGCGCCACTGGAAGCAACATGGGTGCCTCTGGAGGCCACTGGAGGCCGCAGGGGGTCACCGGAGGAGCCACTGGAGCCGCTCGAGGCTCGCGGGGGTCACTGGTGTCCCCTGGTGGCCCCTTGGGCAGACCGACGATTCAGGCTGCTCAGACTTGCCCTTACGCTACGAGCGCTGCACCCTCCTCCGTCGCCCCAGAGATCCGCCGACCCTGTCGGCGTGTGGAACCCCTGTCGGCGTGCGCTCAGTCGACACAGCCGTTGTCCTCTTGCCCTGCGTCTCCGTCGGCCCCTTTCCCTGCACCCTCCTCTTCAAGCCTGCCAGCGAGAGAAAACCGTAGCAACGTCGTAAAGAAGTCGAAGGGAAGCCCCTTCCCTTTGATCCCTCCCCCGCCGAGTGGGGGGAGGGGGTCCTGGGGGGGGTCATATACGCATCCTCCCCTGGGCGTCCGGGAGCCCCCCAAAGCGCCAAGACGCGCCAAGAGGGCCCCAAGCAGGCCCAAGAAGAGGACCACGAACCAACATTTCGAGCTTCCCGCCCCAAGAAGCCCCCGGAAGGCCCCAAGAGCCCCTCAAGGGGCCCGAAGAGGCCCCCAAGAGACACCCAAGAGGCCCAACAGAGGCCCCAACAGGCCCGAAAACATCCAAGAGGCCTTTCAACCACAATCCCAGCACGGTGGCGGGAAGGGCCGCAGGCCACGAGGCTCCCTGTCTGTCTCTGCTACGACTTCCTCGGCCCACATGGGGAACATCTCCTTCGCCTTCTCCTGCTCCCTTCCACCTTCATCCCCCTCCTCCTCCTCCTCCTCCTCCTCCTCCTCCTCCTCCTCGTCCTCCTCGTATTCGGCGTCGTCGTCTTCAGGGTCGGCGGCACCGGCCGTAAGGCTTTAGCACTACAGATCGCGCTCGCTGCCCCTCAGCGAGCTGCAAAGTCCTTGCCACTTGGAGCAGGAAATAAATCCTTTAAACCTTCTTCCGTCGGCGACGAGGCAGAGGCAGCCCGCAACAGCGTGGAGCTCATCGGGGAAGTCGATGGCAGCTTGTCCAGCGTGCAAGAGAGAAACAGAGAGAGAGAGAGAGGCGAAGACGAGGGCGGCCGCGCGAAGGGAGGAGGAGGGAGCCCCAGAGACTCAGATCGCGCTCGCTGCCCCTCAGCGAGCTTCAACGTCCCTGCCCGCTGTGGAGCAGGACATTCCTCCTTGAATAGGGGGAAAACAAACCTACCTCGCTTTTGACCACCCTCGCTTCCAAGAGATACCAAACGATGCCAAATTGCAGCCTGTACTGGTCAGGCCGCTTGACGAGGAGACGCGTGGTATGGCTTGGTTTTGCCTGGAAGCGAAAGCGGGGTAGGTAATTCACGCTCTGGTCGAAGCGCCCGCCGCCTGGAGCCGCCGCCTGGCGCCAGCCACCTCTCCACCTGACCGGCGCGTGGAGAACGGACCCCTCCGGGGGGCTGCCCTCGCAGCTCCTCTCCCGGGCTCGAGACCCGGGAAGAGAAGCGCCTGCCTCGCTGACTTGAAGTCTGGCAGGTCTCCTTGCATGGCGTTCGGGCGCCCCCTTCTTTCGGCGTTGGACAAACCTCCCTTTAGTAAACCTCCCCTTAGTGAAAACGGCCTGGGACCGAAACCGACGGACCTGAACCCGCAAAAATGACGGCCGCGACGCCCTCTCACGAACCGAAAACGGCCAATTCCTCAATCGACGTGTCAGGGTAGGAGGTCTGTCCAACCCCGATTCTTCCGCCACCATTCGAGCGGCGCTGGGCCGCAGAGGCGCGCAAAGGGGTCCAGACTTGCGCTGCGTCTGGATTCCCTCACGGGCCTCACCACGCCCCCCCAACTCAATGCAAAAAACCTTGCCCGCGTCTGGAAGACACTGCCTTCCATTGCCATGCAACACGCGTGGGGCCACCAAAGAGGTGCGGCAGGGAACAAAGCAACATACAGCTGCCTCACAAGGACCCCTCCAGGAGCGCGTTCTGACAGCGAATCCGGTCGCAACGACGAGGAACAAACCGCGGCATCGGCGTCTTCCTCCTCTGACCCGGAGAGTGGGATCGGCGAGGAAAACTTCCAGGAGGGCGCTTTCGCGTCATTAGAATTACACCAGAGAGAACCCCAATCAATACATAATTTTCGCTGAGGAGATCGACCGAGCACCCAGGAGCCCGGGAACCGAGAACCCACCGAAGTCGGCCCGGAACCAACCCGGAACAGGGAACCCGGGAACCCAGCCTGCAACCAAAATCGGCGGGAAACTTTCGCCAAATCTTTCAACTCCGCTCGGACCCTTCCAGTGCAAGCACTGATTGGGGAGTAAAGAATCTCGGCGCAAACAGGAAGGACTTTTGCGAGCTCTGCGCGGATTTCTTGGCTCGGCGCTGGAAAACCCGTCCCTGGCGCGAGGAGCGAGCCAGGGACAGCGCTTGAGGCGCCTACGGGGGGGGGGGGCCAGCGCTAGACGAGCGCGTTCCACTGATCACAAAGTGGCTACTCGCAAATGGCCTGGATACGCCGCGGGGGATCTACGACACATGACATCAAAGCAGCCATGTGTTTTTTTCTGACGTTTGCGAGTAGGCACTTTGCGAGTAGTGGAACGCGCTCGGTGATGTATGCAATGACTTAGGTGATGGCATCAGAACCCTGCCCCCACAAACCATCGATTCTCCTGAATCGAGGGGAGGCGGGGGTAGGAATCGGACTTCGCCGCGGGCACTCCGGATTCCGAACCCTGCACCCGCCGCCCATCGAAATGCCGCCAAAAAACACTAGGACCATTGATTTGGCAAAATCGACCGGCTAATCAAACTCGACTGTATACTCGGTGGCAGCTCATGGGAGCCTTCCGTGCCATGGTGTTGGCTCTTGCGAACCTACGCCAACTAATGTAATCTACGCTACATAGTCGACGCTAATGCTGCGCTAGTCGACGCCAGATTCGACGCTACTCGAACCTGTATCGGTGGGTCCGCATCGATTTTCACACGCCACGCGAATGCACTCTAAAGACAGAATTCCAAGGACATGGGGGGCTCCCATGATTTGCAACCGAATTGTACCGCGGGTTCGTGTCGTGTCGACCCCAGCGTGGGTTCCTGGCACCACGGGGCTCGGTCAACCTTGACCGATCAGTCGTGTCCGAAACGTCAGATCGTTCAACAGAGTCGCCGGCAACGTTCAAGGCTGACAGCCAGCGGCGGGTCCGCCGCAAGTCGATACGACGAGAACCTTCCGCATCGGGGTCCGATCCAAACCTCCAAATGCCAAATTCGGGAAAACTGGCCGCCCCCATGTTCCGTGAAGTTAGAAATATGGGTTAACGTTCAGATTCGAACCCCATGGAGGCCTCCTAGATGGGTCCGAGTAACGGGGTCGAAGAATCGCGCAACATCGCCAATGAATCTCCGATGTATCGGCGATGCATGGGCGGCATCAACGTGGAGAAACACGGGCTCCACATCATGCCGAATCGTCTATGCATTGGCGTTGCGGCGCGATCCTCCGACCCCATCTACTCGGACCCCATCTGGGAGGCCTTGACCCCGGGTCGGTTCTGGCGTGCGTTCCAGCCAGAGCTTCCACCAGGCGGATCCAGATGTTCCACCGAGGCAGATCCACGAGAAACCCCCCAACCAGACAGAAGCGCCCCAGAACCCCCATCCTCGAACCTGGAGTTAGGTCAGGCATGTCCTCCTAAAGGCGGATTTGTGGCGAAAGTATATAAACAAAAACAACCATCTGTTCAAGAATAATCAGAAGATGTAACAACATCGATCGTCCCCAGACTGTTGTTAGCACAATTTTTGAACATTCCTCCTGTGGAGGGAAACGCCCGACTGAAACCTAGAGAATTTCGGGGGCGGCCAAGAGGTGGGGGGTGTAAATCATGGCCGGCGGCATGTGCGCGGTTAAAGGGGAGGGGCCAAGGACGTAATGAAATAAGAAGAGGCGCCATGACATTTTGGGAAATATCATGGCCCGCGCCATGATATCCACCCCCCTAGTCATCACCCCCCTCTTTGCCGCCCCCGAGAATTGGGCTTTCTTTCGGCTCGTGTTATGTTGCTCCCATCGTACTTGAGGACCACATCCCAGAAATCACTTCGAGCACCCGGAACAGTGTCGAAGGAGTGTCGCAAGAGAGTCGACACGGCGTCGGGCGAGTGCCTCCCAGGGGCCCGACGCGTGAACAAACCCTCGAGTTTCGGCATTTGGGCTGGTGCTCGAGAGTCTTGCTGGCGGTCAAGGCTAACGTAGGTTGGAACATCATAATTGAAGGGGCCCCAGGACACACAAATAAATACACACAAATAACAAGGTTCCCCATCTTTTCCCCCATTTTCTGGGTTTCTGTCTTCCCCCCCACTGCCCGTATTTTCCCATATTTTCTGGGGGATCGCCGATGAATTGTGTGTGTGTCTTTTTCCCTCCGGAATAAGGCTCGTGGCGAGCCTCCAGGTGCGAAGCGAAGGGCGGCCGGGCCGCCAGCTCGGCGCCGCCGCAGGCGCCCGACCCGAGCAGCGCCGCCCGCGCGGCGGCCAGCAGCGGGCCGTCGGCGCTCCACACCGCGAGGGCGCCGCCGCCGCCGATGAGCTCCGCGTGCAGCTCGCCGGCCACACGCAGGCGTGACCCCAGGCAAGATTTTGGAGTCGGGAGGCCACTGCTGGAAGGTTCTCGTCGGAAGGATTCAGGGAGAGTGTAGGCCTCATTGGAGAGCTTGTTCCGCAGGAGTGGACCTCGGATTAAGCAGGATTAAGCCGGATTAAACGGGATTAAGCGGGATTAAGCGGGATCAAGCGGGATTAAGCCGGATTTCGGACCAGGGCGAAAACAGAATTCGGCCTCCCAAGAATTTCATCCGAATTGGAGGTCGCTGGGGGGGCAGCGATGTCTCCAGGGCCAAATCCGTCAATAGCAATCCTTACGACCCCCAGCCCAAGAGAAGCCGGGAGCCTGAGTTTGCTCTTGTGGGCGATTGGGCTGTTTAGGTTTGCTCTTACCCTACGAGCATTCGGGAGCCTGGGTTTGATCTTGTGGGCGATTGGGCTGGTTAGGTTTGCTCTTACCCTACGAGCATTCAATCCCCCCTCCGTCGCCCCAGAAACACAAATCGCGCTCGCTGCTCTTCAATGAGCTTCAAGCAAGAGTGACCTCTGGTGCGCGACTTTCGGGGGGCGCGTGAGGGCCGGGCCCGAGCAAAGAAGCCGCTTTTATAACACACCGCCTGTCGTCCGCACCAATAGAGGCCCAGTCTGTCTGCACCAGTAGAGGCCTTCTGGACGAGGCCCGAATAGATGCATTGACGATGTAGCGGCGATGCATGTGACCGTTTTTTTCTTGCCCGGAAAACTGTCGTTACCCTGGGGGGCCTTCGGGCGGGAAGCTAACGTTAACGGCGGCCAAGGCGTGCATCCGCCTGGGTGCGTCCGCGCCAACCTCGACCCAATCGCCTGTGTGCACCACAGCATGTAGGGGGGGTCCAGGCCCACCCCCCGTACGATCGTTAGTGGTACAAGGGGGAGGCGGGGGAGAGTTGGCCGGGCTAACGAAGGTTACCCTGGGGAGGAACAAATACGCCCACCATCGGCGATGCATTGTCGACATCGGCGGTGCTTCTGCGACGTCGGCGAGGAGAAAATCGGGCTCCACATCGCGCCGCATCGGCGATGCATCGGCGATGGCGCGCGATCTTCCGACTCCATCTACTTCGACCCCAGGGAAATTGGAAGGTACCGATCACGCTTCTCCCCAGACCTTTCCCGAGGTGCGTTCAGACCAGGCTTTCGAGGCGGATCCAGCGGTGGTGACGAAGACCTCCCAGAAGGCCCAACATGGGACGAAACCAGGGAAGGGGACCAGTATGGGTACCTTTCCCCCCTCCTCTGTAAGCTCTGGGTGCTCGATGTGCACGCACAGAAGGGGTGGCTGCGGCGAATCGGGAGCGGCCAAGAGGGGGGTGTCCAAGAGGGGGGGGTACAAATCATGACCGGCGGCATGTGCGCGGCCAAGCGGGGGGGGCTGGGACGTAATGACATAAGAAGAGGCGCCATGAAATCAGAGGAAAAATCATGGCCCGCGCCATGATATCCACCCCCCGTAGTCATCACCCCCCTCTTTTCCGCCCCCGAGCGAAGGGTCTCTCCTACGCGTGGCCGGGCTCGGCGAGCAAGCGGCGGCGCCAGGCGGCGCCGGGCGGCGAGGCGAGCCACCTGCAGAAGCCCTCCTCGGAGCATCACTGAACTCCAGGAGCGGGCAGGGCCCTACGGCAGCTTCGTGTCGTGCCGACCCCAGCGTTGGTTTTTGACACCGCAGGAATCGTTCAACCTTGAACGATCGGCCGCTGCCGCAACGTCCGGTCGTTCAACATCGATCGATTCTGGGTCGCCGGCGGCGTTCAACCTTGAACGCCCGCGCTGGGGTCGCCGCTGGTCGACACGACGCAAACCTACCGTATGGGCTATACGGTCAAAACTGGTTTTAAGGATGCGCGAAAACTAAGCGAGGGCCGTGGACGCGCATGTCAAAGCTTTTCGAGCGGGGCTGGCCATCGAAAAGGGTCAGGGATGGACCGAAGATGACCGGAAAGGGCACGAATGCAGGGGCACCACCAGACCATACAGTACATTCGCTTGCGTCGGCACGCGCAAAACTTTTTGGCACCGCGCGGGTCGTTCAACCTTGAGCCGGTTGGGGCCCCGTCCGTTCAAGATGTTATTCCGACAAGCCCTGTGGCTTTACCGTGCCACTGGTGCTTCCGCGTCCTTCGATCGTGCGAAACACAACCTTAAACGCCTTCGCGAGCGTCACCGGCGCGCCGTCGCCGCATGAGCCTACCGTATGCCTCGAAAAAGCCCCTGCGGGGGGGAGGCCAGGGTTCCTGGCCGTGGGTCTGGTCTAGAAGACTCTCCTGATTCGGGCGTGGGTCTTGTGTAACGTGGCTCCCTGGGCGGTGCAGTCTGCATGGGGCGGGGAGGTGGGGTGGCGCACAAACTTGCAGAAATGAAGCGAACCAATCAATGAAATCTATTGAACTTTCGCATGCGTTCCATGCATACCCTTTCCTTCTCTTTCTCTCTCACTCTCTCTCACTCTCTCTTCTTTCGCTAACTCTGCTCGGAACTCTCTGACCCGTGTACTTTTTATTACAATGTACACATCCCAAGCCCAAAAACTCCACGATGCCATATCGAGGCCCCTTATGCAACTTGCGCCCTGGGCCGAAAAAGGATGTAGCGCCACCCAGCAGGATTCCCCTGAATCAGCCCCGAGGTGGCTGAAGATTGCCGCTGGCGGGCTCAATGGTAAAGCTGGTCTAAGCTACTTGCAGCAAGGCGTAACCGTCGATTGCGTCGTACACCCTGCGAAATGCTTTAGAAATCATGGGTTAAGAAATTCATAGTCTCAGAATTGGAATAAAAGCCCAGAACGTCTATCAAAATCTTAGGATCTGCATTGAAACATTAAGAATAATCGAGACTCTGGCCGAAAACTTTGGTTTTCTTAAGCATCGCCTAGAGTGTAAGTGCGAGCCCTCCGCGCGAATTTCTCGGATCGGCGCTGGAGCCTCGTCCCCTTGCGCGGGGAGCGTGCCACGGGGCGGCGCCAGAGGCGTCGCCAGGGGAACTCGGCGCCGATCCAAGGAATCCGCGCGGAACTTCGAAGATCTGGGGCGTTCCAAAAATGGCCTCGCCTTCGAGGATCGGAGGAGTCGTCGTCTCTTCCGCAGCGGAAGGCGTCGGAAGGGCGGCGGAAAGCCAGCGCAATGAAAACGAGGCCGCCTCTGCCGGCGGAGGCCGGCGGGCGTCGACGAGAGTAAAAGATGCGCACCCAAGAGTGGAGGCGTTTTTGGGATCAGGATTTCCGAAATCGCCCATATGTTTTCTTTTTGGTCAGCGGCCGCAGGCGAGCGCGCCAGCGGCGGGTCCAGTCAAAGCGGGGCACGCAGCGACGAATTGAACTAAAGCGACGGAGGGTGGCCACACCTACAGCGGCTAACCGGGACCACACGCAGCAGCTCAGCGGCGGACCGGCGAGGGAGGGGGTTGCTGAAACTGAGTCAACCCATATGTTTACGCAACGCTCTCTCATTTTCGTTTCCCGCCACGGAGCGCGCCCCTGGCCCGAGGTGTTCCCAACCGGCCGCTCAAGGTTTGGAGCCCTGGGCCCTCTGGGCATGATGGCGTGCGCTTTAGGCCGTCGGGGTCTCCCTGAAAAATCCGGGGAGACCTTGGTCCAAACTCCCGAGTTTTTGTTTGTTATGTTTTTCCCCTCGCGCGGAACACCACGGGTGACACAACCACACCGCGATTCGAAAAGGCCGATCGGCAAACCGGGAACACCGCGCAAAGCGACTTGCAGTAGGATAACTTATGCTATTGGCCGTGCCCTGAACAACGAATCGACACTGCAGTTGCGACAGGAGGAAGGAGTCGAGAAAGATTTGCACCCACATCCACTGCGTCTTGGACTATCTGTGAAGGAGCGCCCAGAGGCCGAGGCACAGCGGGTAACTATAGACAAAAATCTATAGAGGGCGGATGTTGATCCATATCCTCTGCGCCTCTGGCTTCTGGGGAAGGGAGCCCAACAACTACAAAGCGCAGAGTACAGTGATACAAACCTTGTCCGCTTGGGAATCTAACGTTGTGGATGCCACGACAATGGACACCCTAACAGTCCGAGCATTGAATTTCACATGTGTTTAACATGTAGGAAAATGTTCTAAACATGTTGAAGACATAATTTATATGCTTTCAAACATGTTTAACACATGATTTAGACATCTGGAATTTATTTGGCAACAAGCTTCCTCTCCATTGATCGTCCTCCACAACGCTTAGGAATCTAACGGACGTGGGCCAGGTCCCCGATCAGCACCGCCAGATCTGGGCTGGGGAAACCGAGCGGCGTTGAGACTGCTGCTCCCTGGATCTCTCCCAGGGGGGCCCTCCAGCCCCAGGAAAACGACAAAACAGCAGAAACACACAACTGCTGGCACTCCGCGGGGACTCCCTGGATCCGCGCTGGAGGCGCCGCCAGGGGGGGGCCAGCAGGGATCCGAGAGATCCGCACCGCGAGCCAACCGTGTTTTCCGAAAGATGCAACGCCGTGAAGCGAATCCAGCGGTGGCGCCGAGGGCCGTCGTGGGGGGAGCTGCCGGCGCGGGCCCCAGGCCGCCGCGGAGGGAGGGGCACGCCCGCGACGCCGCCGACGACGCCGACGTCGACGGCGACGGCCACGGCGACGACGACGGCGACGAGAACGCCGACGACGACAACGACGACGACGACGGCGACGGCCACGGCGACGACGACGGCGACGACGGCGCCGACGACGACGACGACGACGACGACGACGGCGCCGACGACGACGGCGACGACGCCGACGCCGACGCCGACGCCGACGCCGACGACGACGACGACGACGACGACGACGATCCTCGCCCCTCTCGAGCAGGCCGCCGGCCTCCTCCAGGGTGGTGCAGCGCCCCCCCGCCTCGGCGGCACGCAGGAGAGGAGGGAGTCCCCCCGGGCAGGAGGGGCCTCTCTGAGGCGCGCGGATTCCTGGGGGGCCGCGGGGGGAGCCAAGAGCAACGCCACCCAGGCGTGTCACCCTGCGTCGGCGGCGAGCGAGGGGGGGGTGAAAATGGAACAAATGAAGGGGCCCCAGGACACACAAATGAATACACACAAATAAAAATGCTCCCCATATTTTCCCATATTTTCTGGGTTTTTGTCTTCCCCCCCAATTCCCATATTTTCCCATATTTTCTGCGGAATCGACGATTAATTGTGTCTGTGTGTGTTTTTCCCCTCCTGACAGGCGTACCACCCTGCGTCGGCGGCGAGCGAGGGGGGTGTAAAAATGGAAAAAAAAAAAAAAAAAAAAAAAAAAAAAAAAAAAAAAAAAAAAAAAAAAAAAAAAAAAACGCCGTACAAACATACACTTCTGGCGCTCCGCGCGGATGTCTTGGATTCGCGCTGGGGTCCCCTGGCGGCGCCTCCGGCGCCGCCCCGAGGGGTCCAGCGCAGATCCACGAAATCCGCGCGGAGCGCCAGAAGTTCATGCTTATGGTTTGTCTCTCCTTCTATTCTCAGAAGGCTCGAAGTCCCCAGGCCCCCCGAGGAGTGATCTGAGCCTTCCCCGAAGACACAGAAAACCTCTCCGAAGGACGGAGGGCTTCTGAGGAGCCCCGCCGCCTTCTCGGGGGCGCGCGCAAATGGATTAGCGATCCATGGATTTGTCGAGCGTTCGCCAAATCCATGGATCGTGGGAGGTGCCCTCCCCAAAATGCGGCCGGCACCGTCCCGTTCGGCGGCGGACATGCGCGATTTCCCATGGAAACAGGACCCGTCGCTAATCCACGCCCCCTTGATCCATGTTTGCGATCGCCTGTTAGCTTCGCAGAGGGACATGCCCGACTCAATGCTACGTCGGATCTCAGGGTAGCCAAAGCTGGGGACACCCTTGTGGGCCCTCACAGAAGATCACTCTGTCGAAGGGTCACTCTGACCCGCCAGTCGGAATAGGCAGGTGGAAACATGAAGCTGGACATCGGACAAAGTAGATCGGGTTCGGCCCCGCCCACAGCATAACAGACATCAGCAAAAGCAGATCGACCTTTGAAGTAGGACGGGGCTGGGAGTAGATTGGGACCTGGATGTGAAACAGACCTGCTCCCGACGACCGGTGCGCACGTGCGACGGGTGGTAATTCCGGGGTGGCCTGCACGGGGGCCTCAACGGGCCTTTGAGGGCCCCTTTCGGAGCCAGCGGGGGCCCAAAAGGGGCCCCGAAAGCTTCCCTTCGCGGCCCCTTGTTTCACCCCCCGTCCGGGTCACCCCCCATTTGCGACCTGCGGGCCCACGCCGAAGGTCACTCTGGCGAAGGGTCACTCGGGAACGTCGGCCGGAAGAAGTGGAACAGAGCGAGGGGGGGCGAACGGTCATTTACTGTCCCTGGGCGCGTGGCTGAAATAAGATGATGCGGTCAGGATTGCTGTTGTTGATGTCGTTGCTGTTGATGATGTTGTTGTTGCTGCTGTTGTTGTTGCTGCTGCTGTTGTTGTTGTTGCCGTTGATGTTGTCGTTGTTGTTGTTGTTGCTGTTGCTATTGGTGTGCTTGCTGTTGCTGTTGGTACAGCTGTGGTTGATGTTGGTGTTGGCGCTGTTGATGGGGCTGTTGTTGTTGTTGTTGTTGTTGTTGTTGTTGTTGTTGTTGGCGGTGGTGTTTTTGCTGGGCCCGGGCCCTCCCAGAGAACGACAGAACAAAGCAAAGCCGTGCCGATTCTCCGATGCTTGATGCAGGAAGGGGCTTGAAGCAGACAAGGATCTGGTGTACACGTCGTTCATGTCTAATCGTGCTCATTTCGAAAAGTGCGCTCGTTTCTAGTTGTTCCTGGCCCCCTAGTGGCCAGGAAGAGGCCCAGGACAGAACACTGAGAAAGGAAAGGATCTTGGCTCCCAAAAAACCAAAGAACTTTCGAATAATAAGGCGTAAACAATGTGTACGTGCACACGGCGCACAGATTCAGAATTGCGCCGCCGCGCCATCGCAGGCCAACACGGTGGCAAAACCCCAAGGACTTTGCGTAACGCAGTCCTGCTCTTGGGGGGGAACCGATTCCCGGGACAGCTCGGAGTTTGGCCGCTGACCGCCCATGGGGAGCCCGCCAAAGACCACGAAAACGACCACGAGAAGGCCAGCCCAAGAAATACACACCCCCAGAAAGACTACGAGAAGACCGCGACAAGACCACGACAAGACCACGAGAAGACCACGCAAAGACCACGCAAAGACCACGCAAAGACCACGAAAAAGCCCACGGAAACGACCACGCAGAGAGACTGGCGTGCGCGTGCGGCCGCGACCACCGCGCAGGGCAGCGGCAGGCTCCGGCACCAGCGGGCCAGCAGGTGGTCGCCGGGGCGCAGCCCGCCCAGCGGCGCGCCCTCGGGCGCCGCCAGGACGTCGGCGGAGGCGTTCGGCTCCACGGCGAGGCGCAGCTCCGAGCCCTCGCCGAGGGCCGCCAGCGCCTCTGAAGGAAGAAGCGGCGGCGTGGCCGAATCCAGGGGGCAACTACTCTGGGAGGTTTCCGTGGGAAACATGAAGGAGGATGTAAGCACCATTCGGGAGCAGTTACGCCAGAGTGGGCCTCGGATCAAGCGGGATGGAGCGGGATGAAGCGGGATGAAGCGGGATGAAGCCGGACTTCGGACCAGTGCAGAATCAAAATTTCACCTACCAGGCCGAAGCCGCTGCTGCGATCCGACCATCCCGTGCGGCAGCGCGGGGGCGTTACTTCGGAGCCACCGTGCCACCACAGGAGGAGGAGGAGGAGGAGAAGGAGGAGGAGGAGGAGGAAGAGGAGGAAGAGGAGGAGGGAGGGAGGGAGGGAGGGAGGGAGGGAGGGAGGAGGAGGGCCACGGCGGGCCTGCGCAGGTGGAGGCGTGGGGCTCGGTTTCGGGGGACTCGCGTGGGGACCCGGCGGGGCCGTCAGGGAGAGGGCGAGGCCCCATCGGAGAGATGGCGCGGGCTCCCGCGGCAGACAGCCCGCGAACACTGCGCCGTCCAGATCCACGACTTGGCGGCGCGCACTAGGGGGTGGAGGGAGGGGGAAGGGCTTCTTAGAAGGAGGCTGCTTCTTAGAAGGCGCTGGCCTTACACCTATAGAAAGGGCCCGCGCCTTCTAAGAAGCAGGGGTGCTTCTAAGAAGCCCTCCCCCCTCCTGCCACCCCCCTCTACGCGTGGCTGAAAGACGGGCTTGTCAAAACTCGTGGGCAAGCCCGAGGTCCGGAGGACTCGAGTCTTGATTTCCCCAGCTCTAGAAGAACGGACGAATGAGGAGCCGAACTCTATATACACCGACGCTCTTTCCGGCCCCGCACCGGAACTCGCACAGGAAGGCGGATCCTGGTGTATACGGGGTGTTGGTATATACATGTTTCGTTCCTCCTACGAGAAAACGGGGAATCGAGTATACTCCACACCACCCCGACGTCGTCGCCGACCCTCAAAATATCTTGGGATTGATGAACAGCCCGCCACTGGTAATGTATATGCTCGAGTGTCCGAGAAAACAACGTATGAGCATGCGGTCGGGAACGTCTGCGCAGCGTGTGCCGACGCGGCTCTCCCCCCCCGGCCCCGCGAGCGGACAGCAGGTCGCTCCGCTCCGCGGCGCGCGGGGGGAGACTCGGGACGGCTCGGGACGTGTTTCCCACTCCGAGGTAACCGACAGCGGGTGGAAGCATCGGGCATGAGCACACCAGGAAACCTGTCCAAAACATGGGCTCGGCAGACTTTCTCGCCGAACAAAATACTGAAGAAAACATGTGCATTTTCTCCAAAACAGTATCGGGCCAAGATCACGTTGAATCTCTCGCCCAATCACCCGTTCATTTTTTGGCCATGTTTGGGGCGACGAAGAAATCGGCGCGAACCCATTGTTGGGCCAAGATTTCTGGTTTGTCGGTTTCAATCCATTCCCCCCGTTCCCGGTTACCTCAGTTCTCACTCCGCATGTCGCAGCAGACAAGACATTGGAGGCCTGGAAATGGGCACCAACACCAAGACACCGGACTGCCTCCACAGGGGGGAAATTATCCTAGAATTCGGTGTGGGTGGTAATATCTCCGCCGCCGTAGAGGTCAGAATATTACCACCATTTCCGAGACCGGGATCTTCTGCCCTCGGTGGAGGCTCGCCGCCGATCTTGGTGTTGGTGTCAACCTCGAGGCCTGCGACATTCCGCATTTCGCAGTCAGCACTGATGGGCCTGTCTTCCACCACCACCACTAAAGGTTGGAGGGGGGAAGGAGGAGGAGGATGGGGAGGAGGAGGACGAGGAGGAGGAGGAGGATGGGGAGGAGGAGGAGGAGGAGGAGGTACCCCTCCAACTTATGGTGGTGGTGGAAAACAAGCCGATGCGGATTGCGGATTGCGGATTGCGCTTCGCGCCGAAACGTGGCGGGCCAGAAGCGGCGGAACGACACGCCATCGCGGAGTTCCAGGCCGTGACCCCCACCAACAATCGATTCCCTGGAATCGATGGGAGGCGGGAGTAAGGTTCGGGCTTCGCCACGCGTCCCACGAGTTCCGAACCCTCCTCCCGCCGCCCATCACGTTGCCTTAATCGTGGATCGGCGGAGGTGGGGCTCGGAGGTTGCCGCCGATCTAAAAAAAGCACGCCGTAAACATAAATATTGGGCGTCCACGAACTTGGGATCTGCGATGTTTGGACACCCGAGATGGGCACGGAAAGAATGGGCACTATGCCCAACAACAAATGTTGTCCCAAGCCAACAGCGGCCGCTGTTGGGCAGGCGGCCTCCTGTCTCGAACGGACACAGGCCGCGGCGGCGTGGACAGCGAATCCGGTTGAAAATGAACAGGAACTGTTGTTGGGCAGTGTACCCCTTCTTTCGGTACCCATGTCGGGCGTCCAGAGCGACGGGTCCTCCCCCCTGGCGCACCTCTGGCGCCAGAGGAGCCGCCAGCGGGGCCCCAGCGCCGATCCAAGAGCCAAGAGGAGGAGGAGGAGGAGGAGGAGGAGGAGGAGGAGGAGGAGGAGGAGGAGGAGCGCAAATTTTATGCTTTATGTAACTGCTCATAGCCTGCCATCGCTCGGGCGTTCCAGCCCCGTGCATTGTGTCGGCTTCGTGCGTGCTCGTCTTTGGCTCGATGGTCAAAAGGGTGCGCCTCGATGGCCCTCGCCGAGGAACACGTGCACACGTCCGCGCGATGCCAGGATGCTGCTCCTTCTTCTTCTTCCTCTTCTTCTTCTTCTTCTTCTCCTTTTTCTTCTGCGAGCCTCTGGCGTCCCCAGCAGTGACATCAGCAGGCCCACGGCTGACGCCAAGGAGCGCCTGGAGCAGGAGGCGGCCGGGGGGGTCTGAGCTGGTCAGCCCCCGAGACGATCGGTCAAGACGGGGAGGTGAAGACATCCGCTCAAAACCGGTCTCCTGGATCCCTCGCGGGGGTCCACGCGGTGCAATTTGTCTCTCCAGATCCGTCTTCGACGATCCTGGGGCCCGAGACAAGGCCAGGGAGAGCGAAAAAGGCCAACAGAGACATTCCTGAACCCAGCACCTCTGAGCATCGTTTTACCGATCCCTGTCCCCGCTCGCGTGGCCTGGGCCCCACTGGCCGGTTTGACCCCCTAGATGGGGATATAGGCAGTTTCTGTCAGCTTTCGAAGGGTATATCCCAACTGGGGGGATGAGATGGTGGGGGTCTGGATAGGGATGGGGATGGGGATGGGGATCGGTTGAACGATACTGAACCTCGAACCTGCCCCCCTCCCTGCTGGCCAGAACCCATGCTGGGCCACCTCAAACCCCCAGCCGATGCCAAGCCTGGAGTCCAGGCTCCGGACCCGCAGCAGCCGCCAGCCCGCAGCCGCCGCCCGGCCAATATGCCCGTCATACGCCGCCGACAGGTCGCGCCCAAGGCGCGCCATCTGCACGAAGCCCCGGCCCGTGAGCTGCCCGGGCCCGCAGGCGTAGCCCTGCTTTCGGAAGCAATGTTTGGGAGTCCTTCGAAAGAACCAGTGAATATTCAGGGAAGGGGGACTCGTTTCAGGGGGCATTGGGCGGGACTATCATTGGATGGAACCAGAGCTGAGCGAGATTATGCCGCATTGCGCCACCAGCGCCGATGCTGAACTAAGGAGCTCATAAAAGGACGTATGCGCCCATCCACATGCATGAACATGGCCCCCCAGTCCGCGAGACCAGCCGCGTGATAGGAAGGTTCGCGCAATGTGTACTCTTGAAACCATCGTGGATTCATGTACGTGTGCCTCACGGGGCCCCAGTAACAGCAACGCCGTCTTTCACCCTTCACCATCTGTTGACAATGGAAAGATTGAAACATCTGCGACCAAACACGACAAACCAAAACGGCCCCAGGATTGGCACCGGAACCGGAACAAAAACGGCGACGGCACCAGCAAACAATCGGCGACGGAACCGCAAAAGAAAGAGGCAAGACGGAACCGGTAACGAAGCGGCAAGACAGAACCGGTAAAACAACGGCGACGGCACCACAGCCACTAAAAGACGTGTACGTCCTTCTTTCGCTCCTTCGGGGCTTGGTAAGCGGGGGTTTAGCTAAACGGGGGTGCAGGCTTTTCCATCTGCCCCCGTTCACTGTACCCCCGTCTACGGCGCCCAGAGCCCCCTAAACGGGGGCACAGCCAAACGTGGAACTCGCCGCTCTCCGTGCCCCCGCTTGCCGTGCCCCCGTCTCTGGCGCCCTGACTCCTGAGGAAGCGAAAGCTCCCTCGAGTTGCACCCTGGCCTGCGGTCCCAGCTCGGGCGTGAAGGAGCGCTCCAGGGCCCGGCCCTCCGCGGTGGCCACGCGGAAGCGGACGAGGCCGTTGAGGCGCCAGTAGCGGGGCAGCACCTCCCAGAGGAGAGGGCGCAGCCCCCCGCGACCAGGGACCCGTGTGTTCGCCGTTGCCTGGGCGTCCATTCCCCCGTGCACGTTTCGGCCTCGTGCCTGCCTCCTGCTTCGGCAGAAGAGGCCTCGACGTTCTTCGCGACGGCACTTGCCGAGAAGCATGCACACGTCCGAGCGATGCCAAACATGGGTTCGGAAGAGTAGATGGGGTGGGAGGATCGCGCCGCATCGCCGATACATCGACGATGCATCGGCGAGGCAAGTCGGGCTTCACATCGAGCCGCATGGGCGATGCAACGGCGATGCGGCGCGATCTCCGACCCCATCTAGGATTAGATCGGGCGGGTCCTCCTACAGGCGGATTGTCTTAAGGAACAGCTTAAGGAGTGAGAAAATGCTCAACAATTGTCAAACAAAGAATCGAAGCATCGCCCACACACTATGTTTCGACTATCGTTGAAGATCCCTCCTATTCAGGGACACGCCCGACTTACATCTACGAGGCCAAAGAGTTGTGGATGCCATGACTGGACACTCTAACAACCCTATCATTGAAGTGCATATGTGTTTAAAATGTGTAAAACATGCTCTGAACATGTTTCAAACGTGTTTTCAACACCTGTAAGGCATATCTGGAACATGGTTTCAGACATCTGAAAATGATTTGGCAGCATGCTGCCTCTCCATTAGCCGACTCCCACAAGCACAGGAAGGGGGACCGACCCCATGGGCGGTGGCAAGCCCGAGAGCTCCAGTGGCTGGGTGGCGGCTGGGCGTGCCGCCGCCCAGTGGGGCGGGGCGATGCTTTCACCCGCAGGGTGAGGGCCACCCGCGGGGAGGAGGCGGAGGAGGCGGAGGAGGAGGGGGTGGAGGAGGAGGAGGAGGAGGAGGAGGAGGAGGAGGAGAGAGGAGAGGAGGAGGGGGGAGGAGGAAGAGGAGGAGGAGGAGGAGGAGGAGGAGAGGAGGAAGGGAAGAGGAAGGGGGCGAGCCTCCACTGGGGGGATGGTCCCCGGAGAAGCCGCCCCCAGGCACACTGGCCCGTGTGAGCATCCCCTGGGGAAGAGGAAGAAACCTCACCCTGGGAATAAGAATCCCCTGGAGATCTAAAGCTTCCAGGGGAAGAGCTTTCCCAGTGGACTTGCCCGGGTACATTCGCCCACTCTCCCGCCCTGGGGGGGCGCCCCCACCCCGCACCCCACCCCCCCCACCCCCCACCCCGCCCAATCCGACGGGTTCTCGGTGGCGGTGATCCCTCACCCTCTTTCTTCTGGACATTCCGCCCTAATCTCCCGCCCCTCTTTCGATGTGATCTCTGTGTGGGCTCCCTCGACTCACGTAAGGCTTCCCCCATGAGGTTCGACGACTTCCTCCGCCCCTTCCGCGGGGGTCGGAAGGCATGCAAGGTGGAGGTGGCGGTGATCCCTGTTCTCGGCGGCGCGCCCGGAGGGGGGGGGAGCGAGAAGGACAAGGCCTCCTCAGAAGGCTCGGAAGTCCCTGGACTCGACGCTGAAGCATCTGGGCCTGCCCCTGAAGGCACCGAAACCCTCTTAGAGGGCGCGAGGGCTCCTGAGAAGCCCCGCCACCTTCCGAGGGGGCCTGCTCCTCCTCCTCCTCCTCCTCCTCCTCCTCCTCCTCCTCCTCCTCCTCCTCCTCCTCCCCCTCCTCCTCCCCCTCCTCCTCCTCCTCCTCCGAAGCTGTGCGGCCGACGTTCTCCCCTGAGCCTCGGGGGTGCAGTCCCACGACGCGCCCGCGCCCGCCTCCCCGGGCCACGCGGCCTCGGGGCTGCTGTCGCCGTGGCCCGCGATCACCAGGACGCTGTGCAGCCGCAGGCCCTGCTCCTCGCCCTCCCGCTCCTGGGCGAGGCCCGCGCTGCGCCCATCGGCCCTCCCCCCCCCGCCAAGGCGAGTCCAAAAGGTATACCTATACGACCACCTCCTCCTCCTCCTCCTCCTGCTCCTCCTCCTGCTGCCTCCTCCTGCTCCTCCTGCTGCCTCCTCCTCCTCCTCCTCCTGTTGCTGCTGCTGCTGCTCCTCCTCCTCCTCCTGCTCCTCCTGCTCAGCCTCCTCCTCCTCCTCCTGCCTCCTCCTCCTCCTCCTCCTCCTCCTCCCCCTCCTCCTCCTCCTCCTTCCCCTCCTCCTCCTCCACCTCCTCCCCCTCCTGTTGCTGCTGCTGCTGCTGCTGCTCCTGCTCCTCCTCGAGGCCGGGGGATTGTGGAACCCATCATTGTTTTCATACGGTGTTTTTTATCGGGTGAAACGCTCTTTCACCCTAAACTTTGACTGTGTTGTTGTGTCATGTTTCTTTTCGCCGTGATCCCCTCATACTAATATTTTCTCGTTAGATCGTTCTCTAGTGTTTTCTCTCTCTCTCTCTCGTTGTCTCTCTCTCTCCCTCTCTCTCTATCTCTATTTGTCTGTCTCCTGCACCAGGCCAACGCATGCCGATGCGATACAAATCCATCCCCAACCAACACCAATGCCAATGCAATGCCAAAGGGGCAATCCTTTCGTTCGGCGGATTTCAATAAGAATACTTTGTGGATGATGTCGTTACAAATCCTTCTTCGGAGGATTTCAATAGCAATGCTTATGTATGGGGTTTCAACAGGGATCCTCATGTGTGGGGTTCCAATAGGAATCCTTCAGGTGGGAGGGTTCAATCGGATTCGTTCTTGTGGAGGGTTTCAGTAGGAGTCCCTCTGCGGAGGGAGCCATTAGGACTCGCCAGCGCAATGCCAAAACTTTGCCATCGCAATGCCAAACCAATGCCAAAGCGATCCCAATTCAATGCCAGTGCAATGCCCATGTGGGGTATCCGTTTTGGTAGATTCCAAAACGAATCCTCACTGTGGATTGTTTAGATTGGAATCATTCCGTGGGGGTTTTCAGTATGAACCTTGTATGTGGGGGGGTCAACAGGATCCCTTCTTGTGGAAGATAAGGGATCCTTCTGTGGTGGGAGCCATTCGAACTCGCCAGCGCAATGCCGAAGCAACGCCAACGCAATGTCAAACCAATGCCAATGCGGGGAATTGTTTGTGGTAGATTTTAATAGCTATCCGTCTAAAAACCCTTATTCGGGTGATTTCAATAGGAAGCCTTCTATGGAGGGCTTCGCGTGGAACCCTTCTGTTGAGGATTTCAATTTGAATAATTCTTGTGGGTGGGGTTCAATAGGAACACTTTTTGTGGGGGTGTTCAATAGAAATCCTTCTGTGAAGTGATTGAGTAGGACTCGCCAGCGCAATGTCAACGCAATGCTAACGCACTGCCATCGCAATGCCAACGCAATGCCAATGCGATGCCAAACCGTTGCCAAACCAACGCCAATGCAATGCCGATGGCGGGACTCCTGTCTTCAAACAGATGTCACGGGGAATCCGTATGTGGATGATTTGGTTACGAATCATTCTTCGGAGGATTTCGATAGGAATCCCCCCCCGTGGAGGGTTTCGATTGGACTATTTTTGTGGGGGTTCCACGTTGGATCCTTCGTGTGGGGGCTGTCAAAAGGATCCCTTCTTGTGCAATGTTTTCGTATGATCCTTCTGTGGGGGGAGCCATTAGAACTCGCCAGCGCAATGCCAACGCAATACCAACGCAATGCCAAACCAATGCCAAAGCGACCCCAATTCAATGCCAATGCAATGCCAATAGGGGAAATCGTTTGTGGTCGGGTTCAAGAAGGATCCTTCTATGGAGGGCGTCGAATGGAATCCTTCCGTGGGGCACTTCAATGTGAACCCTTCTTGTTGGGTGCTTCAATCGGAATCCTTCTTGTGGGGGGGTCAACAGGAGTCATTATGCGAAGGGAGGTGTTGGAACTCGCCAGCGCAATGTCAGCGCAATGCCAACGTCGTGCCAACGCACTGCCATCGCAACGCCAATGCGATGCCAATGCGATGCCAAATCAATGCACATGCAATGCCGGTGGCGGAGTTCCTGCCTTCCAACAGATTCCACTAGGAATCCGTATGTGGATGATTTGGCTACAAAACCTTCTTCGGAGGATTTCGATAAGAATCCTCCCGTTGGGAGTTTCGATTGGGATCGTTCTGTGGGGGATGTCACGTTGAATCCTCCATATTGGGGCGTTCAAAAGGATCCCTTCTTGTCCAAGGTTTTCATAAGAATCCTTCTGTGGGGGGGGGGGCATTAGAAATCGCCAGCGCAATGCCAACGCAATACCAACGCAATGCCAAACCAATGCCAAAAACGATCCCAATTCAATGCCAATGGGGGAAATCGTTTGTGGTCGGGTTCAAGAAGAATCCTTCTATGGAGGGCTTGGAATGGAATCCTTCCGTGGGGCACTTCAATGTGAACCCGTCTTGTGGGATGCTTCATTCGGAATCCGTCTTGTGGGGGGTCCCACAGGGATCATTATGCGAAAGGAGGTGTTGGAACTCGCCAGCGCAATGCCAGCGTGCCAACGCAGTGCCATCGCAATGCCACAACAATGCCAACGCGTTCCCAACCCAATGCCAATGCACTGCCAATGGTGGAAATCCTTTGTGGTAGATTTCAATAGGAATCCTTATGTGGAGGGCTTCGCATGGAATCGTTCTGTGGAGGGTGCGCGGAGGGTTTCAATAGGAGTCCTTCTTGTAGAATGTTTCGATCGGAGTCCTTCTGTGGTGGGTTCCATTAGGACTCGCCAGCGCAATGCTTGCGAAATGCAGCCACACTAGCAACGCACTGCCAAGCGCAATGCCAACGCAATGCCAATGCGATGCCAGACCATTGCCAAACCAATGCCAATGCAACGCCAACGGGGATTCTTTCTTTCGAAGTATCTCAATATCAGTCCTTCTGCAGGTGATTTCAATGGGGATCCATCTGTGGAGGATTTGAATAGGAATCATTCAGTCGAGGGTTTCGATAGGAATCCTTCTGTAGAGAATTTCACTGTGAATCCTTCTTGTGGGGGCGTTCGATAGGAATCCTTCTAGGGGGGGGACAGATGAGGCCACGTCACGTTCCTTTTTTCTCGCCGCCGACCCCCCCTAAAAAACATGGGGGCGAGAGGGGCGATATAAAAAAGAGGAGGAGGAGGAGAACGGGGAGGAGGGAGGAGAGGAGGACGCCACAGGGTACGCACACCACTGAAAGACGCAAGCGCGAACTCAGTGCGAAAGTCTCGCGCGCGCCCTGGATCCCCAAGGGGCTCCACAATCCCGCGTTCTCTCCTCCTGCTCCTGCTCCTCCTTCTCCTCCTCATCATCCTCCTCCCTCCTCCCTCCTCCCTCCTCCCTCCTCCCTCATCGCTCCTCCCTCCTCCTCCTCCTCTTCCTCCTCCCTCCTCCCTCCTCCCTCCTCCCTCCTCCCTCCTCCCTCCTCCTCCCTCCTCCCTCCTCCTCCCTCCTCCCTCCTCCCTCCTTCCTCCGTCCCTCCTTACTCCTCCTCCTCCTCCCTCCTCCACCTCCTCCTCCTTTTTCTTCCTCTTCTTCTGCTCCTCCTCCTCCTCCTCCTCCGCCTCCTCCTCCTCCTGCTCCTCCTCCTCCGCCTCCTCTCCTCCCCTGCTCCTCCTCCTCCTCCTCCTTCTTCTCCCCTCTGTTGTCCTCCTCCTCCTCCTCCTCCTCCTCCTCCTCCACCCCTCCTCCTCCTCCCCCCTCCTCCCCCCTTCTCCTCCTCCTCCACCTCCTCCTCCTCCTCTGCCTCCTCCTCCTCCTTCTCATCCTACTTATCCTCCTCCTCTCCCTTCTCCCGCGAGTCCAATAATGTACCTATACGACCGCGTTTCGGTTGATGAGGAGGTCGTTCTCGGGAAGGGGGGCCAACAGATGACCACTGCGATGGTTGTGACGGCGACGAGGCTGGGTCTGCGCTCGCGGGCAAGTGGCGATGCACGATGGGGATACTTTTCACGATGCATGCTGGACACCATGTGGACATTATTATCGGGACACCGTCGGGACAGAATCGGGACACCATCCGGGCACCATTGGGACACCACCGGGGCAACATCGGGACACCATCGAAGCACTGTCGGGACACCATCATGGAACCATGTGGACACCATCGGGAGACCATCGGGACACCATGTGGACACTATCAGGGCACCATGTGGACACCCATCGGAACACCGTCGGGACAGCACGTGGACAACAGTGGGCACCATCGGGCAACATGTGGACACCATCGGAAAACCATGTGGACACCACTTGGACATAATCGGGGCACAAGCAGGACATTATCGACACGCCATCGGGAAGAACACCTGAAGAGACTGCGAAGAAACTGGATGGTACAATCGGGACACCGTGTGGACACCATGTGGCCACCACCCGGACACCATAAAGACACCCTTGGAACACCATCGGGGCAGCAGCGCGACACTATCGGAACATCATCCGGACACCACTGTGACACAATCGGGGCACCCTGGTGGTACAATGTGGGCACCATCGGGACGAAATCGGAACACAATCCGGACACCATGTGGACACACTGTGGACACCATGTGGTCACCATCGGGACACCCTCGGGGCACCATCGGAACACCATCGGAACAGCATCGGGACACCATCGAGACACCATCGGGACACCATCGGGACACCGTCGGGACACCATCGAGACCCCATCGGGACCCCATGAGGACACCATCGGGGCACTGTCGGGACACCATGTGGACACCATTGGGACACAATGTGGACACCATGTGGACAACATCAAAACATCATCGGCGCAGCATCGGGACACCATCGGAACACAATTCGGACACCATTGGGACACAACGGGGACACCACCTGGACACCACTGGGATACCATCGGGGCACCAATCTGGACACCAATCACCAGTCGGGAAAACACTGGGACACCAGCGGACACCATGGGGACACCATGGCGACACC